ATAGCCGGCGAGGATAAAAGAGAAATGGTAATTTTGACACTCTGTCGATAGGAGAATAATTTACTTTTTAATTAGCGCGTACAGCCGCCACCGTATTACGGTCACGTCACGGTCTAATAATGAGGTATTATACTAAAATTAAACGCCGGTATACTGGAAACGATTAATATTATTGTTTATCTGCAGTTGGTAACGATTCAACAAAAGTTGAGTGAACGAATACATAGTAGGACATAATAATATTATTATCACGGCGAATTATTATTGTAATTTTACGTAAACCCAGGCCGATTAATGATTTTCTAGAAGTACACATTTCCAAAAACACTGCGAACGATACGCACACGCGTACATACACACACACACACACACACACATACATGCGCACGCGCAAAAATATTTAATAATAACTGTATGGGTTCTTGGTAATAGGGTAGTTTTAGTGCGATGCTTAGCCATGACGATAATTCAATAGTCCCACCAACACCGTATTCACGGGTATTGAATCACACACACGATAGCAACAATCGCCACGTTATATTATTATGTGGGCGAGTGTTTGCGGCAAACGCGAACAACGGGTAACCAGTTTGGTAACGAGCCCGACAAAATACATTACAATATTATTGTAATATTATCGGTGTTTCCGTGATGGTACCGACCTATTTTATGATATTATCATCGACGATTCGCATACAGAGTACCAGCAACACCCGGTTGATTTACAACATCCGACACCATAATATTATTATGTTTTTGGCGGGATAGCCGAGAGAATAACGACACGCACGATATTATGCACACGAATTCGCACGCCGCCGGCGCATCGGGTAAACGATGGCCAAGGCACGTTTGCGACGAAATTGTTATTTTCGCTGCAAATATTTCAACGATTCGCGCGCGCACACGTCATGTCCACGCGGGTCGGACTGGACTCGTCGAGCGTTTCCGATCGATTAACATGAATAATATAAAATAAAGAAAACAAAAAAAGTTAAAAATGCTGATGGGTGTGCCACGGTTTTGTGTGGGAAGTTTAAAACGCAGGATACATTAAGTTATTTAATTTGAAACTACATGCAATGATAAACCATTGCTAACGAAAAACGATTCTGAGCAAAATTCGGTTACACATCCTTTTGAAATACGGACATTTTTTCGATTTTTGATTCGCCGAAATTTGATTTTAATACGTTCATAAAAAATAATTACTACATCACGCTAAACTTTTTTTTTTTTTACTTAAAGTACAGCTTATCTCGTGCTGAATTTCCCAGCATTTCTGTTCGGTCTAACAAATTTATCTACATAATACCAATCAAATAAAAAGCGAAAAAACTAATTATAAATAATTCAAAAATGTTTAGAAAATATTATCACGTTTAGAAAAGACTAATATAATTATTCTGTAAAAATATCAAGTATACGATAACTTTGAACGGAAATACAAAAAAAAAAAATTTAAAAAAAAAAATAACAACCATTCCGCAAAATCATTTCCTTTTTTTCCTTAATTATTAAGAAAACGCCTAGGAAAATCATAAAACGACCTTCTTATGCACCAACTAGATAATATTATTTTCCAGGAGAGATGCTATGCCACATTTAAATTTCATAAATTTTTAATTTCACGATTCAGAATCAAAAAAAAAAAAATAATGAGAATACATCATAGCAAAACCACTTAAAATTTTAAATGTCAGTTGTATACTGTTGTATCCACAGTATTTTGTGAAAATTTTACGTTTTCACTATACATTTTAACTGAAAAATAACGAAAACCGTTATTGCGTAAATAGTTGTCCTATTTTCCAAACGGTTTTTCTCCCAATTTCCAATATTCCCGGCAAGATTTCCAGTAGAAAAGTTGATCGCAGACAAAAAATACAATAAATAAAAACACGCATTGTAATTTATTACAATACATTCCTTGCTACGCACAGAATCTAAAAACGGTCGACGATCGTTTTATATATGTAAGTATCTATACGATTATACGAACCATTGTGTGTGTGTGTGTGTGTGTGTGTGTGCATCTGTGATATTATCACCGGACTCGCGCAACAATAAATTGATAACAATAGTAATAATAATGGTAAATACAAATATATTACTATGATACGATGATACTCTGGCTGGCTGACTGCACGCACAACAAACACGAAGAAACACGGTCAATTATGAATTGTTTTGACGTGTATTTTTCTCTTTCTTTTCTTGCACCACCGCCGCCACCACTAGCACTACCGCCGCCACCACCACTATCACCACCGACGTTGCCAAATCGTATTTCCATATGCGGCGCCACGGACTGCCGCTTTCGTGATTTTTACGACGTCGACGGCGACGGCGGTACGATAGTCTACAATACGCGACGATTACGCTACTACGTTGGCGGTGACCAGTCAGCAACTCGAGTCGTATTATAATAGTAGTCGGCCGTCCAACTCGCTCGTGCGTTTCTCGGAAATACCGTTCGCACACTCACACATCGTGTACAATATTTGTACGATCCTTGGCTCGTTCGCTCGCTAACTGGCCGTCTCTTTCTCGCCAGACCGGGCCTGGTTATTACACGGCCTACAAAAACGATACGTCTACCTATAATACCGATGTACCTATACGCGACCGCCAAAACGCCGCCGTGTCTCGAACCCCTACGATACATAAATAAAATATACGTACTTGACGTGATAGCGGTAGCACACGCGACGTGTATACGAATTAAAACTAATAGGTTAGGATATTATTATTATTATTATTATACAGGTATTTAAGTACCTAGGTTATAGAGCATATACCTATCTACTCTGGCCCAACGTTTGCACATCATGCGTATACAAACACACACATCCGACGACGGCCGGTAACGCGAAAACGATAAAAACAATAATACTAGTTGGCCAGCTACCTGCCCAGCTCTAATGTTAGGTATATGACATGGCCGTATGATAAAATATGACGCGCGGTATTTTAATATAATAGTTTGGTTGTCGACAATATTGGTGACATGTTAGGTTACATGTTAACACAATGACGGTTTTCAAAATGTTGTCCAATCTTGTACTTACATTTCAATGACTACATTAATTAAAAAACTTCTCCACTAATCTGATGTCCGGCACTCATTTAAGGGGAAGGGGTAGAGCCGTCTTTATGCAAGTACAAATATGACGTTTAAGTTTCGATTTAGACTAAAAATCCAAAAAACACTGGGAAGTGCGTTTCACGGATTTTAATGTTGAAATTATTATGATTCGTTAAAATTTATAACTATTATTAAAAGTTAGATTTTTTTTTTTTTTTTAAATTGAATTCACTTTTCCCAGTCAAAACCTAGAGAATCATGTTCCGTTTTTAAAATTATTAAAATCCGGCAAACTATAGTTTTATCTGACTTTTAGATCTAAATTGATTAAAGTATATTATCTACATCCTCGCCAATCTTCTAAAATAGCGTAAATTAGAATATTGATAGACTACAGGTGAAAACGCACGAGTCGGTACGATGAAGTTATCGTAACTAATATTCGTATAGATTAAATAGTGCGCGAAAAAGTTTTCTAATAGTTTTCTAAGAAACTAAATAATTTATTGTGATTACATATTAAATACATACGCAAGTATGAAAAAGATAATGTTAGTACCTTGGTATTGTCCACGCCGTCTCCGTGTGCCCGTCACTTTTTGTTTTTATTTTTCGGCTTCGATCAAGTTTGGCAGCAAATAATGATATCTCTAATCACTCCGCAATATTACCCGTAATTAAAGATACTATTATAATACTCGACGATAGAAAACATTAAAATTATAATAAAGGTACGTTTCGTATGTATACTATTATTATTGTGTATAACTAATAACAATCAAAACATAATCATAAACATAGTACTTAATGTCACTACACACTTTGTAGGTTTAATTGAAAATAAAAATAATAATAATAACGTTAATATATAATTTATTATAGTTACTATTACGTTCAAAGTGACGAATAATAGTATTATAATAACGGGTTGAAAATTAAAAATAATATGCAAACAAAACAAATTTTAAAAATGTTTATAAATTACGGATGGTAAAATTTCAAAAGTTAGTAATCGAACGCGCGCGCGAGGACGCCGATGACGCGCGACAGGACGACGCGATAGAAATGCGCAACGCGCGAGACGGAAGAAATAACTAAATCACTACAGGTTAGCAAGACTGAACAAACGAAACTGTTGCTCAGCTATAGCCGACGGATGGACAAAAAAAACCACCTGCTGCTGCTGCTGCTGCTGCTGCTGCTGTGGCCGTCGCCATAACACAATGGTGGGGGTTGTTTGCCGTCGTCGCCGGGTGAAACAAGCAGCGCGCGCTTGGTGAATGGTGGGACGGCAAACAGGTGAGTGGCGGGCGTCAGATTCGGTGGGGATATATAAATACGTATTATATGTATGTACGCGTGCACGCGTGCGACTGTGTGTGTGTGTGCGTGTGTCTGTTTGTGTGTGTGTGTGTGTGTGTATGTGTGTGTACGTATTGCAATGTACGCTTACAGCACGCGCCCTCTATCGTTGATAAAAATAATAAAATATGATTATATTATATTATTTGTACTGAGTGTGTGCGCGTGTACGAGGGAATGCGAAACTTTGCAAAATTTATTAATTTTTTATATTATTCCGAACGAAGAATTCTGGTTTTTTTTTTCCGCCGTCAAATCGTTTATTTTATTATTTTTTATTTTATTATCGATTGTAATTATTTTTCATTTTTTTCTACTACATTGACTACCTACATCGACTCTGTGAAATTATTACCGTGGAACATTATCAATAAATAATAATAATAATTCTCTTTTGAGTATAAAATAATATTCAATCATAAAAATCGTACGCATTAAGCAAATCGTTTTGAAAACCAATACTTTTTTTTCCAATATCTGTTTCCGGCTTCGTATAGATTTTAATAAAATATTATTATTCGGTGATTAAATAATTATGAACTGTATACGTTTGATTAACAAAAAATCGGAATACCTTGACGTCATAATGATCCATTACTCGTGTTCAATATTTCTTGTCGATTTATGGTAACTATACGCGTTTTCTCGGAGTTTCGTGTTTAAATTCATTTAATATTATTAGTCCCCCATGAACACTTAAAATGAAATCGATTTCACGAAGAACAATAATTGTAATAAACCAAACCTATCGTATTTAATTAAATTTCCTGACGATTATATTTGCATTATACGAGTAGGTACCTGGATATGATTGCAGCTACTGCAGTTACCTAACTACCTACCTAGCCCTCCAGGTACGGTACACTATGGAAAATGCAGTATTCAAATGAAAATAATTGATTAAGCGTAATACACAACTCTTTAGTCTAATATGGTGGATGTGTATTACTAACTATAAATGCAAAAAAAGTGAAAAACTATGTGAAAAATAAGGGATCAAACAGTTAATGATTTGGAATAAATTTAAATTACTTATTGGATATTTTGAAGACAATATTTTAACTCTTTAGAGGGCAGAATGGGTGTTCTGGTAATTTCAATTATTACCGTAATATTTTTACAAACATATTATAATATCTATAATTAGTGGCAGCTAACCTAATTTAAGGGGTGGGTATACCCCCTAGCATGATAGTTTAATATAAAACATTGTACATTTTACAATTAATATAAGGAGCATTATATATAACACGAACTAGTCTATTCCTAGACTGCCATAGCGTGTAACCTACTGTCTGAATGCATTAGTAAAAACAGATGGGTATTTAACTATAACTTTTTAATTAATAGTTTTACGATAAATAACCAATAGTACCTAATGAATTTCTAAATCTACAACAGCGGCTATAGTTAGGCTACATACAGTGAAAACCTGTACATGATAGTATTGTTATTATTTAACTATTTTTGGTTATAATATCCAAGATTGTACATATATTTTTGTAGTAAAAGAATAATATAATTAATTTCTAAACATTTAGAAGATAAAAAAATTATGTTATAATTAAACGACAAACAATGTCCATATTATTATATTTATTTTGGAAAAGACGGACATACTTCGTAAGATGAGTGGGCTACTGTTGTAGTTGAGAAGTTGTGAGAATAAGATAAAAAGGGAAATTTAATGTACATCGATTAATCAACAAAAACTATTCTGAGCAGAGTTCGGTTATACATGGTTTGAAAAATCTTAGGTAATATTTACAATTTTTGTCTAAATTTAGTTATAAATTCTTATAAAAAAAAAACTACATTAAACTCAAAATTTTCTTGTTAGCCACTAATTAAAACTTATAATGAAAACATCCTGTTAAATTTCTAAGAACTTCTGTTCGGTCTAACAATTTTATCAAAAGAATACCTACCGAATAAAAGTTACGTGAAAAACTCTCAAAATTAAAATGTGTATTAGCTTATTTATAGCTCAAACATCGCTCAAATGTTTTTAAAATGTTATTACTTTTAGAAAAGATAAATATGAGATCTATGTCTAAATTTCAAGTCTACGAATATTTTTAATTAAATCACAACAGAAAAAGAAAATTTAAAATATTAAAAACATTATTTTCGTAAATTTTTCCGTTCTTTCTGCATTTATTTTTCGGTATTGCTAATTTATTAAAAAAACGACTTTCTAACTCACCAACCAAATTAAAAATTCTATTGAATTTTGAAGAGTCCTTTTTATTAAAAGGACTCTTGTCGTTTTTCTATCGGAACAATATTTATAGTAGAAAACATCGGTCTTAAACATTTTAAATAATGAAATCGTTGCGCAGCAATTTGAAAAAATCATATTTTTCGTCTTTTTTGGTTTTTCTAAATTATTATCAAAAAACTATTTTATTTTTAATGGCTGTATGTTAAAAGGAACAAAATCGAAATCTTGTAATTTTTTGATTGGAGCAATAATTCTAATAGAAAATATCCGTATACAAATTAAAAAAAAAAACAAATCTAACCGATAACCTAATGCCGCGGTGCATTGTACATATTTGACGTTTCATCTATAATTTTCTTTCAGTTTTTCTCAATTATTTAAGAAAAACCCCTAAGAAAATCAAAAATTAACGTCTCTAATGCACTAACTAGACAAAATTAACTTTCAAAAAAAGTGTTTACTCTATACATTGGAGCAAGATTTTTGGTAGAAAAGTTGTTCGTAGACATAAAAAAAAAAAATAATAATACAAAAATACGCATCATATAGAAAAACTAATAGATGCCTAGCTATGCTCATTATTTAAAATAAACATCATTTTAAAACCAATATATTATTGTCTATGTCAAATGCCAATATCGGTTTCTAATAATCATATAAATAATTTCTATGTCTATTAAAAATTAAAGTACCTATATGTGAATTAAAATAATAAATGATGCAAAAATGTAGACATTATTTAGTAAATAATATAATCTGTAAAAATAATATTTTATAGCTTAAGAAATTGGTAATTGCCTTTAAAAATATACATTTTGTATTTGTCAGATCCAAATTAGTATATGCATCCCTTATTTGGTCATCAAATAACTCATAATATATAAGCTGTTCAGAGTCGTTTTCTTCGTTTTTTAGTATTTAAATTTAAAATTGAATGTCCAAGACATTCAGATTATAATGGAGTGTATTATTTTATTTAAATATACAATCTTTAAATACAAGAAGTAACCTTCATTATTGATTTTTGTTGAAACTATTAAGTAATTCTATAGATCCCTTTTTTTTACTGGAACGATTACATTTTCGAATTAATACCAAATCCACTAGATATCAAAAAAGCTTTTTAATAAATAATGTTTCTAAATCATACTTAAAATCATCACCTACTAATATACTGATGACTATAGGAAGCACTAAAGATATTAATTTTAGTTGATAATTAATTATAGCTGTATAATTATATACCATATAATATGTACTGTGTCACATTAATTTAAATGTGAATTTTAATATTATTCGTACCTAATTGTATTGTATCTGTTTTACTACAAAAATGTATATATATATTGTTTTATAAATAAAGTTTTTTCGTCAATAAAGATAATATAACAGATAGATTTAGGAGAGCTAGAGGAGCTAAGCTCCATTCATAATCAAAAATGCTCAGAACAATTTTAACGAAGAAGATTATTGATTTACAAAGATATTTATTTATTTATTTTTATTCTGTGGACAACTTTTCTACCAGAGGAATTGCTCCGATTTTTACGTATAGCACCTTTTCTGAAAAAACATCGGTGAAACAGGTCATTTTTCGATTTGCCCCGAAGTTTTCTCAACAAATGTGAAAAACCGAAAAAAATTGAGGAAAAACGAGAATATGTAAGAAATTTAGGTAAAAATATTGCGGCCTTTTTTTTCCTGTGGATAACTTATCTACCACCAATTTTGCTCCAACTTTTAATGATATCAGTTTTTCTAAAAGCATATCGGACTGGAGAGATGCTTTAAGAAAATCGTTTTTTTAAGTTTTATTATTTTATCATTATATGACATATATATCATAATATATCTGACGGTGGAAGCTGAATAATATTATTATAATTATTATTTCTAATTGTCTAATTTTTATTTTCAAAATTTAGGGGTTCCCAACCTCTTCTATTGTGTGTCCTTTTTGTAGATTTTTAAAAATCTCGCATTCCCGCTCTTTAATTTACTAAGTCTACTTACTTAATCTAACTTAACAACCAAAGCTCGGCAAGTTAGTAATTTTTTTTCAATTAGTTAAAGTTAAATTAGTTTAATATAAAATCTTACTAAATTAGAATATAAATTAGTTTCTACAATTTTCCAAATTTCCAACTTAGATGTTAGTTAGGTAAACATAGTAACTTAAGTTAGACGAGAAGTTAGAAGTTAGTTTTTTTATTTTTAGTTTAAAAATTAAAAAACTAGTTCAAATGTAAAGTAGGTATTATGTAAGCTAATTATTAAGTAGGGAACTAACTTAAATTATTGGTGATGATTGAAAAATTAAATTGAACTGATCAAATATATCAAGTACGTAGGTAATAACTTTAATTTCTTGGAAATTAATTGGCATATCAGTTATTAGAAAGTTTAACAAAATAAGAAATAAACAAACAGTGTAACACTATATTTGTCAATATAGACATAATCATAATAATATAAATATAAACATTCATGATAGGATGAAATATGAATGTATGATACATAATATAATATAGCATAATATTATTTATATTGCATAATGGTGACCGTGTATTTCCAATTACCATTTACCATAGACCACTGAGATAGATGTGAATGTAATATAGAGTATATTCTTATTTATTTCAGTGCCACAGACATACAAAAATAACTAGAATATAGCCGACTACTTAGATCATATACATTTTAGTATACGATCTAAGGTCGACTTTAATTTGTTATCAAATAATATGACAAAAACAATTTTTTTATCATAAAATTAAAAACACTCAATATTTTACATAACATTTGGATTTTGAAATGAAAAAAAAAGAAAACAAAAATAACTAGTTTCTTTTTGTTTTTAACGAGTCAGATTAGAATATTTTCCACATTCAGTTCAACTAATTAAGTTACAAAGTTATAATGAATAAAAACTAACTAGGTAACTTAACTTAAACTTTCTAACTAGTTAGTGTCTGGCTTTGTTAACAGCAAAAAAAAACGTTATGACCAAAAAGGTACCTAATCAACAAAAATATTCCTATAATATAATATTCGTATAAACGCCAATAACCAAACAAAACTACCCGATAACCGATTTTTATTCATTTTTTTCTATTTATAAATAAAGATAATTTAATAAATACAAACTTTACTTCATAATGACTACTTGCGCCTCTCTAGTAATGTGTTCACGCCCTCTCCCTCCTAGGTGGGTGCGTCCCTCAATTCGCAAACATTCTGTTAAATAATTACAAATTTAAAATTTATATAGACATTGACTATAAAAAGTATATAATATCATTATTTTATTAATCTTTTATATTTATTTCGGTATATAATGTTATATTTTAAGTTTTTATTTAGGAGGGTTCCATTATTAGTAAAGCCAAATTATTTATATTATTAACTATTAATACAATATATTGTTAAGTAATTTGGGATTAATCACAATAATTAATAATACCTACTATATTATACATTTTGTGTAATTAGTATATTATTTTCTAACCTTTACCATAAAAAAACAAAAAAAATATGTAATAATTTATAATTTTGTAATAAACACAAATCATTAAATTATTTCATTATTATATATTAATTACTTGATCAAATATCTATGTTAATGGAAGTGTTTAAAATTAAAAATGCTGTTTTTTTTTGTTGATATTAACGTATAGCATTCAATTTAATAGTAGTAATGTATTATAATTTACAAATTGGAAGCTGGTAACAGTTTTGTTAGCAAAACCACAACCCAGATAATTTCACCCTCAAACCCTTTTATGCTAAAGATAACATTGCAACGGTATCACGTTTATACGGTTTCTCCGGCATTCGAATTATTTCTTTAAATTCCGCCTACCTGACTACGTGGTTTTTCATAACAAATCAAGGGTATTTTTAATTCACGGACTGGAGTGCCAAATACATGAATAATTAGTGGTAAGGGTAAAATGTATACTTAAAATAATTATTCTATTTGAAAATGTTAAATTAAACAACCGAAGGATATTGTAAAATCAATGAACCTTTTAGAATCTAAAATTTAAATTTTGAGCGAAATTTAGTGAAATCGAGACCTTATAACATTTGTATTTTTTTCAGTTTGTAAACTATTTATTGATCAAAAATCTTGCTTTCATCATCATCTTTAGCCACTTCAGAGATAGTTTCTAGTAAAGAGAATTTTATCATGTTAGTGCTTTTATATATTTTTTATATAATACATTATTGCGAACAAAAACGATTCTGAGCCGATTATTTTACCAATGTTTTTATCCGTCTTTTAATTATTAAATTATTTTATTATTATCCGGTTTTAACTATTAAGAATAATAAGTAAATGAAAAAGCAAAAATATTACTTATAGTTGGCCAACTATTAGTTTTGGATAATTGTATACATATGTATACAAGATACAAAAAAAAAGTTTTTTACCAGTGATGGGAACAATCGAGAGAAATTACTCGTAATAATCGATTGTTATTTGTTATATTTACTCGATTATTTCGATTGTTTTGAAAATTCTCGAGTGATTCGGTATTGAAATCAACTGAGGTTGAGTGATAACTAAATCACTCGAGTGATAAACTATTCGGCGAGTGATTCTCACGAAATTAAATCGACTGATATCTTAATTTAAAACATAAAACAATTGAATAAAAATTAGTAATGTTATTTGTTGTACCTACACGCTATTATATTTCTTTTTAAAACGTTTAATAGGTAATAATAATTAATTGAAGAACTAATTGTCAAGCCTCTAGCGAGTATTGAATAATGTGAGTTGTACATCAGGTTGGAAAATTAATTTAAAACCAATACCAAAATTTATTATATAATTTGTACAAATTTGTAATCATATTTCCAAAATTTGTTTAAGAAACCCTGGTTAAAATACACGAATATTATCTCGGTTCTTTTGGGACCTAATTATTCTTGAGTATACCTTTTTACGGGATGCAACTCATGTGCTTCCTTACCTTGTTATAGGTACCTTTATATTAGATATTTAAATATTAATAGTAGATCCACAGTGATTGCAATTGGATTTAGGCGTGTATATGAAATAAATAAAATAATATGTACCTAGAATCTTCCTTTTTCCTACACTTGATGAAAAAAATGATTTTATAAGCAATGTTCGAATATACTTACCTATTTTATTTTAAACTTGTGTAAAAATCTAAACTTGGTACTTCTAAATATCGATAAAAAAGTAATTTTGTTATGATAAGTATATTATTTATAAAACCTTTATAAATAAAAAGACGTCCTAGGATAACGGAGACGGGAGCAGGCACTGTTGTAGGTAATTTAATATATATCTGTAAGCAACAATAACCTATTGCTGACGAAAAAAGCGCAGTTCAATTAATAATGATGCTTTGTCAACAATATATATCTGTCATATTATAGTAAAAAAATTAAATAGGCATTATATATTTTCTTTAATAACATTTGTTTAATATTGGACTAATTTTCCCGTTTTTCTTTATTTACCCGTGTTTTTTCCCTGTTTTTGACATTTGCTGGGAAAACTCTTGGGAAAATTCAAAAATGACCCCCTAAAAGTACCATCTGTACAACATTCCCTTTCAAAAATGGTGCCGTGTGTATATATTTATGCAAGATAATTTTTGTACACAGGATAAAAAATAAAATAAATATCTTTGTAACATCAATACATTCTTCACTGCACTCAAAATCTAAAATACATAAAGTACGAAAAAATAATCCTTTTATTATTTAAATTTTTTTTTTTAATGTATTTTAATTTATAATCTAGTAAAATCTCATTAATCCGGACTTATTGGGGCTTTATGTTGTCCGAATTAATGAAAATCCGGATTAAACAAAATACTAAAAATCATCAATTTTTAGACAAATTTTTTAAAATAATTTTATTGATTATAATATTATACAAATTTTAATTTAATAATATTATGTATTTATATACATATAAAAAATATTAAACCTAAAAAATAGTACATACATACATAATTGTATTATAACCATTACATATGGGAAATTTTTGTAACTCGTTCTCATGTTTATTTTAATCTGCGGCATAAACTAGCGTAGTTTACAGGTATTAAACAGGTGTCCGATTTAAACAAAGCCCGGACTGTGTCTATTTAATTATTTTACTATAATATATCATAATATATTGTTGACAAAGCATCACTATCAACTGAACTGCGCTCAGAATCGTTTTTCCGTTAGCAATGGTTTATCGTTGCTTACAGATATACATTAAATTACCTAAAGCAGTGGCTGTATCCTTCTCCATTATCCTAAGCTGTCTTTTTTCAATTTTCTTTGTAGTTTTTTTTAATAATTGAACAAATCCGAAAAAATATGGAAGAACGGGAAAATATAATGGTTTTTTATTATTTTCAGTTTTGTATTTTTAATGTAATTTAGTTTAAAATATTTATAAAGACTTACAATGTTGACAGAATACTCATATTTATTTGTTCTGGATATAACATGATAAAAGTTTAAGAACATTTAAGCAATTTCTGAGATATTTATAGATTTTTTTTATTTTGCTAGTTTTTTCCAAATTTGTTTTTGGTAGGCACTCTGAAGATAAATTTTATTAGGTTTAATCTTAACAGTAACCTTTACAGAATGGCTATTTTGAAAATTTTAAAAATGGATAAAATAAAAAGTTATTTTTTTTCAATAATTAAGGGATGAAAATAAACATTTAATTTTTCTTTACATATGTGTTCCCCTCGCACAATATAAGATTGAAAGAAAAATGTTTTAAAAAAAATATTAACAAAGTTATGAGCATCGGGATATCACGGTAGGACACACTATATATTATGTATTTATACATGTTTTATATATCTCAAATAGTTTTTTTAAACTAATGCAAATTTCCAATTTGGGAGGAGGGCGCAAATGCAGTGATTCCCTAGAGGCTAGCTAATTTGCAAACTGGAATAAAACAAATCAAACAAATCAAGTTAGAGAAATATTAAATTAAAATAGTTAACTTACAAAAATGTGTGTTATAAAGGCTTAGACTGTTCTATTTTGGAAGGTTGATGAGTTTTTTTTGTTTTTGAGAATTACATTTGTAAGTTGAAACATGGATGTTAGTAACAATTAACAATAGTGCAGTCATCATCTCCTAAACAAATATAAAAATAACTGAACCGAATTGTATGCTACCTATGCATATAATTATATGTTCACTTTCCAGGGTTTTTTGGGTACTTAAGTTGAATAAGAAATTAAGAATAAGTAGGCTCCAATTTATTGAAGTTATGAATTTAAATGAATCAAATTTTTGAAAGAGACTCATTTCTTTACCAACATACAATCACCCAAAATCTAACTCAATCTAAAGTTTGAAGAATAATAAAAACAAAATATGTAATTTGAATTTACATAGGTAATTAACTAGTTCTGTATATCAATTAACAAGGTAATTAACTAGTAGGCTTTTTCAATGCTAGATAAATATCCATAACGTTTATGTTTTTTTATGTATTTAATCAAAATTGGGCAGGTTCTTTCCAAAGTTTTTGAAGAATATTATCTGATTCAATATTATTTTTAACCCAATTTAGAAAATCTTCATAGTCATCTAATGAAATACAAATTTAAACACATATTTTAAATACCTATACTGAATATATTTAAACAATTTTAAAGAATTCAGAAAGTTGTTCTTAACTATCATTATTTTCTTTGAGTTTTCTTTTATTATTTAATTTCACTACATTTCTTTTTAAATTGCAATACTTATCGTATAACTTACCTCTATTAGAATATGCCATATTTCCTTGTTTTAAATATGTATTTTCATTTTTAGATTAAAATAATTCTAAAATACCTATTAAAATAATTAATTAATTAATTATCTATGAAACCAATGGGCATTATATTAATTTAGTGTTAATATTGTAATTTTGAGTTTCTGTATAATGTGGTCGAAGTAAATTCATAATATGTATTAAACATAAATTACCAAAAATATTTTTAATTTTAAAAATATATTCAGAAAATAATTATTGATTTTATATAATTGATGATTGTTACCTTTTGCTAAATAAACAAATTTAAGTTTAGAAATTTTATGATTTTCCTTGATTAGTGAAGTTATGTTTTATTATGACTGTACATAACAAATTTCTTATTGTGTAATTAAGAGTATTATTCATTTTATAGTAGTCAAGTATCAATAATCCATTATTATACTTCTTTAAAATATTAATAATGTAGTCATCATCAGAATATATATTTTTATTAGTTACTGGTATAGAGTAATTAAAAAAAAAAAACAACTGAAGTTTAGATAGTAATTATTATAAAATGTAATTTTTTAAATATGATAGTTTGCAACACACCATAAAGAAGAGTATAGAACTTATTAGTTTTTTATCTGTGGTACTAAACGTATTGGTCTAAACATTTTGTGAACTAGTTCTTTCATGCAAATTTTTATTACTTAAAACATTTGCATTATATATAATTGGGTTTGAAATTTTATAATTATCAACAATAACGAAATCTAATTTGTGTATATCAAAAGAATCTATACTATTTATAGAAGATGTAAATGATGCCAAATCATTACAGATAATATCATTAATAGGTACCTAGGTACCTATTTATTTTAGAATACATACCAACTAAAATAATGACCAATGGATTTTAATAACAATTGGTTACAGTTATAAGTTATAGTTACCTACTTATTAAAACAATTTATACTTAAATATAAGTAGGTAGGTGGATACTGTTAAATTAATAATTAGGTCTATAGTTATTACCTATAGTTCAATAGTTAATTTGCTAATGGCAATGAGGAGATGCCTATCTACTAAATTGTTTAGGATAGTAATTAGTTTTAGTTGTAAATAATATACAGATCATAGGAAGTATTTTACCCTTTTATTATTATTTTTTTTTTCAATTTCAGAAGAAGATTGTAAAATTTTGATTGATGTCCTAATTTTGGCAATAACTTAGCAATAACTTCTCATTTAAAGTGAGAAATGCTGCCAAATAAATTTCTTCTTCTAAAAATGTAAGTAGTTGGAAATATAATAGATAATTTAACATTGTACTATAGTAACTTATTAAAGATATAAAATTAACTATGCATTTATTACTTATAGAAAGGTATCTAACCTTTGAAACGGTCAATTAAATTTTCAAAACCCCATTTCATAAGTGTAGTTGTGGTAAATTCAGTCATCCTTTTTAGTAAACTTAAAAAACCTGTACAAAGTGAAGCATATAATCTGGAAAATATTTGTGTTATTAATAATTATGTAGACATAAAATATTCTTATCTGGAAGCTGAGAGATCGAAATTTAAGTACCTATTATAAGTTATACTTAGTATTAAGTAGATATGCTATATGTACAAAATAAAATCTCCTCATAAATATTAAATTCAATATGTGAATGTATTTGTAAACATTTGCAATATATAACCTTAAATGTTTAATTTATTTTACATTATATTGATTAACTATATTTTGTAGTAAACGGTACTTTAAATTATTGGATACAGAATTAATCAACCGACATTTTAAGTTAATTTAATTTAAAAATGTAGTTTAATAGTTTTAACTATATTATTTAGTTAAACCAATTATTATTTGACTTAATCAAACATTATTTTAGGTTAACAAATACTTATTTATTCAACTATTTGTGTACCAGTTATTTGAACATACTTACATAACTATTATAATTATAAATATAGTTGTTTTAACTATAAATTATTTAACTAAAATATTATAGAAATTATTTTTCCCGTGTGGTGCAACCCTGCATAAATGATCAAACGATTAAAAAAATACTCTAAAAATAATTATATTATATTATCAAGTACCGTGCAATTCTATAATTTTAGGTTAAGTTAGGTACTGTACTCCTGCATACTTGTACATAGTTCAATAATTGTATATTTGTGTGTACCACTGATCATTAATAAGTCTGTACACACTGCATTCTTGTACTATAATATCAAAATTCGCAAGATTATCATGTCAACGTATCGTACTTATGTGGTTATGTTTAATATTATTCAGCATAGAAGTTCAACAAAAATCAATTTTTTTTTTTTTTTTTGTACTTCGGAGTTTAAGTTTAATTTAAAATATAATATATAATATAAATATATAATCTAACCTAACCTAACCTAACCTAACTGCAATTTAAATATTATAATTATTTCAAAGCAAAAGTTAAACATTGTGCAGTAAGTTAAGAAAACATTAATTAGTTATAAACAACCTAACAAACACAATATTATTCCTTGTTTTTAATTCCGAAAGAAAAATAATGATAGACAGTTTTCCTATATTCATTTGGCGAAAGCTGACACATGATGATTGTATTCATATATTGAGATGAAATGAAAATGAAAAACGAACACGATATTTTATAATTTAAGTTAAGTATAGGTATAAAACTATAAACTATGAGTTATCAGTGTAGGATCTAGAAAAGTTCTGATCCTTCATATAAAGGAAATAATAATAATAATAATTATGAACCAAAGAGAGTTTTGATGTATCTTTTGAAATTGTACACAAGTGAATAATAGATCTACCCACTGAAAAATAATAGTTACCTATTAAAAATTAATTAAACTGTCCGTTTACAAAATATTATGTGACCAGAGAAAAACAGTCTTGAAAATGTGTGCGACCATACCACAAAAATAATAACAGTATGATAAACAATAATCTATCGTCAGTTTCGCCGTTTTCTCATCAGAAAGGTCTCAATAATAAAAAGACATCCTAGGATAATGGAAACAGATGCAGCCACTGTTACAGATAATTTAATGTATGTCTGTAACCAAAGATAAACCATTGCTAACGAAAAAACGATTCTGAGCGCAGTTCAGTTGATAGTGATGCTGTCAACAAAATATATGTCATATTATGGTAACATAATTAAATAGGCATTATATATTTTCTCTTATAATATTTTTTAAATATTTTTTTTTAAGATTTTCCTATGTTTTTTCTCAATTTTTCCCATTTATTAGGAAAACTTCTGGAAAAATCGAAAATTTACCTTCTTATAATACCATGCCATTTGGATTTTCGTTCAGAAAAAGTGCTTTCATTTTAAATCGGAGTAAAATTGCTGGTAAAAAAGTTGTACATAGGAAAAAAAAACATAATATTTTTTTACTAATACATTTCATACATTTTCCATTTTTCCGACATTTTATCCAGGTTTTTCTCAGATATTATGAAAACCGCTTTAAAAATCAAAAAAAGTCTTCTTTAAATTACCATGGAGATAAAATTTCCTTTCAGAAAATAAGCCACACTTCATACATTGGAGCAAGATTTCTGAAAGAAAAGTTAGCACAACAAATCGAAGAGTTTTTCGCGATTAAAATAGTCCAGGTAAGTGATGGCTTAGGCCTCTTGGTACCCCCAAAATGCATTAGTTTTTTCACTGTTTAGATAAAAAGTGAAAAATATGCAAACATTTTTATTTGCACACACTGGTTTGAACTCAGAACCCCTAGGATGATAATAGGCATAAATAACCATTAAATCACAACAAACATGCTTTAAGAAGAACAATATAGAGTTATTTAACATAATATATAATATCCGCATAATATTTGAACTCAAAAAAGCTGTAATTTCGAAATTTAGTCAGTTCGCTCAATTCTGACTTTACATTCTTAAATCGGCAATACACATAATATGTATATTTTTTTAAACATATTATGTAAAAAAGAAAAATTTAAAATTAGATTTGTTCCACATAATTTTCTCATAAAAATTTGATATTAAAATTTAATTTATAAAAAAACTCAATTTTTTTTTTTTGATCACAAAGTAAAACTCTCAATGAAGCTCCTGTTAAATTTTGAAACATTTCTGTTCAATACCAACAATTTTACTATAAAGTACCTACCGAATAAATCTTACGTACAAAACTTTCAAAATAAAATGTCTATAAATACCTTAATTTAACCTACATTTTTTGAAAATTTTAGCTCGTTTAAAAAAGGCAATTATAGATTTTCTGTCTAAATTTCAAGTCTCTATGAATATTTTTAACTGACCTATAAAAAATAATAAAATTGAAAAATAATAAATGCATATTTTTCGCCAACATTTCCTTTCAGAAATATATCCGCGCGTATATATCTGATCAAGATTTATGGTTGAATTTTTTTACAAAGTATGAAAAAAAAAAAATAAATAAATAAACATTTTAGTAAAACCAATACATTCTTCGTTACACTTAGAATCTAAAATGCGTAAAACATATTTACGCGTCGCCAGTACCTACGCGTACAGTAGAATATAATGAAAATAACTAGCCCATTCTTTCCAAAAATATTTTTAAAAATATTGTAAGTAAATTAAAAGTAAAAAAAGTAGATATTTACATGATAGACACCCTAATGATGGTGATAGCGATTTTTCAATAAACGCTAAACTGTACCTAATTGGCACCTCGATAAAGATTTAATCGTCGGTATTTTCTGCACAGTACACATGCAGTATTTATATTATGTTATGAATTTTAAATACATTTCTAGACAGGTATTTAGGACAATAAATAACTAAATAACCTGAAGGTTCCGTGAATTAGCACCAAGGGTACCATGAGGAATTTGGGAAAAAATAAATTAGTAAACAGCATTTTCGATTTGATTATTTTTTATAATTAAAATTGAGAAGTTCTAGAATGCCATGGAAAGTGATTTCAAAAATTTTGCCGGAAGTCTCGGACTGCACACTCATTTCAGTATCCAAAAAATATATCTACGTTATGGTTATGAAAAAAAAAATTGGGGGTTTTACCAAATATCCAAGTTTGTGAATAGGTTCCGTGAATAAAATAAGTTGGGAAACACTGACTAGGTGATGTACATGGTGCAAACGTATTTAAAATTATTATAAAACCTATTTAATTATTACAATACAAATTATACAGTTATAATACGTAGAATTTATAAAAACAAATCTCAAATTTCGGATTAGTGGGAGGAGTGTGGTTGAAATCCTTAATTATTACCCCGGATTGTCCCATCGTATATTATTTTATTTTATAACAGTACAGGCCGAGGCCCAAAAAACATCAAGTGATTTATATAAACATAATATTAAAAAAACAAATTTTTACAGACATTTAGTTAGAATAACAATAATATTATACTATATACGAATTATAAATAGATATACCTATTACCTATTAATTATTACAACGTTATAACGTTTTATTTATTACCAATATGTAAATTATTTTTGGCGAGTTAAATATCATTCTATCCGACTGTGTGCCACGTCACGAAATAGTGTTTATCCGGCAACATTCCAATAATACGAGTATTTTAACGTTGATGATAAATGATGATAATAATAATTCTGTATGTTTTCAAATAATTTTAGTTGCAATATTACTGCTGATTTCCAGAAAGTGTAAAAATAATATATAACACGGTCTGGTATGGGTTCCTATTTTCGCAGAACGACGAAAATTAAAATGACGCATATCGAGCATACACGAGTAATCTAAAACCAATATAATAATAATAATAAAATGAATACCCATCTATATTTAAACTCTGGTCCATATAATCTAAGATCTGAAGTTCCCAAACGTGATAGTTATTATGATGAACTATATCGTTTTGTGATGTTAGAAACTATTGAATTATCGTGAAAAATGCTATCATACTATCGTGCATAATCATACCTAATAATTGTTAGTTTCTATCTTGAGAGTGATAATACAATTAATCCAGATTAGGGTTGCTACTTGCCAAACGTTTTATAGTGGGCAGGATAGACTTACATTTGTTTGATTTGTCCTACGTCCAAAACAACTTTAAATTGTATCTTAGACAATCCTGATACATTTCAATAAAAAAACATTGTAGCTGAAGATATAATATTATATAGACGAACATTTTAGAACGGTCAATTACTCAGAAATTGATAATAATTTATAAAATTAATAAAAGTATACACACATGCTATTTAATTTATTACGATAAATGCAAGAGATAAAAGCACGTCTTAGGATCATGAAGACGGGTGCAGCCACTGTTATAGGTAATTTAATATATACCTGTAAGCAATGATAAACCATTACTAACAAAAAACCGATGTTGACTGGAGTTCAGTTGATAGTGAAACTTTGTCAACAATATATATGTCATATATGGTAAAATAATTAAATAGGCATTATATATAAATATATAAATTGCTATCATTATAAATTGGAGCGAAATTGCTGGTAGAAAAGTTGTCCACAGAAAAAAAAGGTTCGAAATATTTTTTATTCGATACCTACATTTCGTACATTTTCCTGTTTTTTTCCGGTTTTTCATATTTCTTGAGAAAACTCTCGATAAAATCTAAAAATGGCCTCCTTAAAACCTAATCTTCTCTCCAAACCGATTGCCTTTCAGAAAAGATGCTACACTTAAAAATTGGAGCGAAATCTCTGTTGGAAAAGTTGTCCACAGAAAAAAAAAAAACAAATATTTTTGTAAAACCATAAGCTTTTTCGCTCCACTCAGAATATAAAATAAATAATAAAAGATTATACAAATTAATATCATGGTCTTTAGAGAACTTGGATCAACTATTTGATCCAAAATAAAAACTGTGAAATTAAAATAGTGTATAATACCACTGTTAAGCTCGGTCCATAAAATGATAATTGACAGTTATTATTCAGATAGTTAGTGTTACAACTATTGAGATAGTTACCAACACAGAACAGCATCTATAAAATATTAATAAAAAGAATAATATAGTGAATTTTGATAAAACCTATAAGTGGCGTATTCAGAATATTTTTTTTGGGGAGGGTTATACGTTTTTCTCGAAATGTATACATAGTACAAGTTGTACTATTTATACATTGCGAAATTATACAAGAATATTAAATTAACATGTAAGTATGTGAATTTTTTATTTATTTATTTAGAGATATAAAGAATCAAGTCACGAAAATTATATTTTTTTAAAAACTATTATTTTAAGTAATTAAACTATTAATTAAAATTTACAATAGGTAGGTACATAGATTTCTTTTTATTAAATATAAATGTATTTTAAATTTTCTCGTAGATCTTTTTGCCAATTTATAAATGGCGTCGTCAGCAGTCACGTTAATTGTATGATGTATGTTCATTAAGGCTTTTATTTATTTATTCGTATGGTAAAGGCTAAATCAGGCTTAAACATTATGGTTAAACTATTTAAACGGTTTTGTCTAGTGGAATTCATTATATAGGTTTTCAAGTCGAAAATTGCCATCTTCTTGATGCAGCAGATATTGGTAGTGTTATGAAAATGTGTAAAATTTTTGATATAATCAGATAAATATCTAGATTTTTGTTTAAATAAAGATCCACAACATTTATTTTCTCTTCAGTAGATGCAGAATAGCTAGTGTACCATAAGTTTCATCCTCCATTTAAAATATTATCAGTTATGTTGGATTCAATGCATTTGTCAAGTATTTTTTGGTATATTTCAACTAATTGTTTAAATATATCTCTTGATTCTTGAGATATTTTAATTTATTTTTTAGTTAAAATGCACCCAAAAGTACTCAAAATGAACTTGAATAGATATTAAACTTATGGATACACCATAAAAAAATTGATTATCATTGTACCGGAATATATGCTTCCGTGCAAAAATAAATGATAACAAATGATGTTTCTTTCTCCATTATGTTAGTTATAAAACGTGTAGGTATACGAAGTAAAGATTAGAATTCCGTATCTAGAAGTGTAATACCATAGTACTCGCAATAATAAAACAAATGCACTTAACCGTTTGTCAATGTAAAAAGAAATATCTTGTGTTTCATCAAAAGTGGGATTGATTTCTAGTTAATTTTTTCTGTTAAATCTGCATCTCGATCCGCATTTAAAATCAAATTCGTACAAAATGTTTGTTGAGGCCGTTTTAGAATTTTTTTAAAAACCACATTTTGGTCATCAGATTGTTTTTGTTTATTACAATTTTGTGACGGTGTGGAAGTAAAGTAGTTTAAAAGATTATTTGTAGGCCCTTTACTCATATTTTATTATTGATAAATAATTCAAGATATAGGTGTTCTTCAAATTACATTTAAAACGGATATCTGCGGAGTACAAACTGACATGTACACTATCGTTCTTTTGCATTTTACTCGTATGTACCAACCGGCAAAACTCAAAATTATTTAATTTTGTTCCTTCCAGTTTTATTTTATTAGTTTTAACAACAGGTACATCATCCGTTTTATCTAAACGTCTAGTTACGTACAGTTAAAATTGTTATTAAAACCGATAGTATATAGACATGAATTATGGTCCACATTAACGCGAATTGATATAAGATTTCAAAGAAATTGTAGTACCTCGGTAGAAATATAAGAAAATAATATTTTAATTGGGCCAAACGATGAATTTGTTCATACACAGATATAGCTATATTCCAACTTATTTGATGTGCATCAATAACAAACACTAAATAATAACTAAATATATATATAAATTTAATAATAGGTATTAGTCTCAAATATAAGACTATTTTATAAAATTAATATTTTATTTAAATTTTTCAAATTCTTTGCATTAAAATTATTCAATAATATAGTATAGATATTTAAATCTAAAAACAGCACATTTTTTTCTATAATAAGTAATTTATGGAAGTAAGTGTGAATAAAAAAATTTCGGGGGATGTTATAATCCACTACCTTCCCACTCTGGATACACCACTGGAACCTATGAATTATAGTACAATAAAATGATAGTATAGACCTAACTGTGCTAACTGTTTAAATCTAATACGTAGGATAGTACCGACACAAGATTTTACTGAGATCAACCCCCGTCCCTCTCGAAAAAAGGACTATTATTAATATTAATCTGGATAATCCGTAAAAATAACTCTCCTTCCTCTTTCATAGGCTCTGGTAAGACAAATATTATATTATATTTGGTCTATAAGACCTTTTAAAACCAGGTAAAGAACCAACAAATCCCAAAAACTTCCGGCTGGTATCACTTCTATGTCACTTATATAAAGCTTTCGAAGAATGATTCAAAATCATATAGTAGAACATATCGACGAAAAATTGATACAAGAACAAGCAGGCTTTAGGAAAGTTAAATCATTACTAAGTATGACCCAGTTTATTGAAAACGGCTTTGAAAAACAATTTTGTTCCTTCATATAAAAGATTGTGTATTCTACATATTATATTACATATTATATTATTATACATCTGATATTCTGATAGTTTTGAAGATTTCAAAACTAAAAACTATAACTAATAACTATAGCTATTCTAAACATTAATATTATACCTTTTTTTTTTGAGTATATGCTTGTCTAGTTTATAAGTTTATAACTTTTCGTAAAAAATATTTAAAAATATCGGCTTTTTTTATGTAAGGTTTATGGTCTAAATGCAGTCAATTGTAATTTGAATGGTCCTTACTTAGATAAGTATGTATTTAATCACAAATATAATTATTAATTTATTTTGTAAAATATTAATAACTAAATAAAATGATACATTGTATAAAATATCTTTAAAATTTAGATAGACTATCTACAATTTTATCCATATCTCCAGGCATAGATGGTAGCCAGCAAATTGAAAGTTGATAAATCTCTGTGGTAGTGGACTGTTTTTGATCAGTTGTTCAATATTAAACCTGTTATGTAAAATTTTTGTATGTTTAATGTAAACTAAGAATAAAACTAGGCTTCAAATAAATATTAATATGTCTCTCCTAGACCAATAAGAATATCTTAATTATGCTCGTTTGATGATGAGCTGGTAATTTTCAGATACTGGTTTGATCATAATTATAAATTAATCATATTTTTAAAATCCGAATGTTTTGAGCCTCACCATTCTGTGCACACTGTGCGCATTATTGAAATATCTAAATATTAAGTAAAAATTGTTTTCACAAATACATGCATATATACATATCTACATATGTAGATATAGTAATACGTCAGCGGAAATATTTATATAATATTATTAATCTATAATCCTACATTCATTTAAATTAACAGAATATATAAATTGTATTTTTAAGATAATTGGATTGGAAATCGAAGTCCCGAAATCTAATGGCCAACACGTAGTCCAGACATGGCACCCATGGATTTTTTTCTCTGGAGATATGTGAAAAATGCTGTTAATGAAAAAATGTCATCTAGTAAAAATGATCTAAAAAAATTAACGAAGTTTGTTCAAATATACTACCTAACATTTAAAAGAAATGTACGAACGAAAATGTTTTAAAACGCATGGCATATTGTTTGTCACAGAATGGACAGTAATTTGAATAGATATTAAAAATTGAATGTACCTAGATATAGATTTTTATAAATGCTTTCTTTCAAATCTTCATTTACGGTCTTGGTTGTAGTCCACTTTTAAATAGTTTTTTGATATATCTAGTAAACATTTGAATGACTTTCAAATATGCATTATAGATATTGTGATAATGAGGAACATGTTTTTAATATTTGGCACTTAAAGAAAAAATAAAAACACACAAATTAATTTTTTCTAACTATGTGTTCATGTATTTTTTATAGAATGATAATAGTTTGTTTTAAACCGTCGTTCTTTTCAATCAATAACGTGACGTCACACTATTTATTCATGTTGGATAGGATTTTATGAAGTTGGTATGATAATATCACAGATATTTATATTATCTGTGGATAATATGTAATCATCCGGTGATGGCGTCCGTTCTTCACCAAATATAAGAACAATTCGTTTGTTATTAAATTTTATTTAAAACATTGTATTATTACCAATGTATATTTTTTAACAAAGGAAGTTGAGAAATTTAGTGTTCTTATATGAACACCACTGACTTAAGTTAGTTTATTTTGTTTATAAATGTATAATCGAAATCCGCTATGAATCGTTTTACTGATACCGAAATCTTATCATTGACGAAAAACTGTTTATTACTGTTCTATAATCATTTCACTAATTAGTTTTTTGGTCATTCGGTAGGTATGTCCAATAATAAGTTACCTATTAAGATAAAATAATAAATAATTGGGATATAAAGTACAATAATAATTATCAATATTGTTACTCAGTGGCGTGGCGAAGTGAAATATTTTATCGGGGAATTCATTTTTTTTTAATGGCCTACTACCACCCCTCAACTCTTAGGCATTGATCATTATCATTACCCATGAATAAACTAAAATGATAGTTTAAATTGCCATATTCCTTGTTGTTTTTTACAGTATTCTGGGCTGATGGCTTTTCCTTGAATACTTATTATTAATTTTATTATTCTTATTTAATATCATATGACATATTCTGATGAAGTTAATCTTGTACTACAATTTTTCCACACACTCCAGTACTCAACCACCAGGCACCCACCCACCCACCACTTAAAATTATCGGGCAATTGCCACTCAAAATCACGGCCAACGCGCCACTGTGGTTACTTACCTTAGGTTGAATGATAGTAAATTTATCACGTATAGCTTCTGGTCTTTACAAATAACATATATTTCAAAATTACCTCCAATAATTATTGAAAATTTAAAAAGCTATAGTTCACCAGCGGATTAAAGAAAATTAAAAATTTGAACACCAAAATTTGTTTTAACTAATACTCGATCTATTTATAGAATTTTTAATGGAGGTTGCCATTTGAAAATCAAATGTAGGTAGTCGTTTCACCCCTAAAAATTAGGGTGACAAAAAATAACGTAAATGTTAAACTTTAGAGGAGCTTGTTTCTTAAATTTTTCAAAAAAAAAAAATTAAATAAATATTCAAAAAAGTAAACACTTCCCGAGATATCGATTGTACTCACTTAAATGAATCACTTTGTACAATCTACAGAGTGACCAATCTGTGGTAAAACACTCGAAAAGTATAAACTTTTTCGAATTTGTTTTTAGTTTGTTTGTTTGTTTTGTTTATAGAACATTTAAAAGACACGCAGCTACACAATTTTACGTTTGTGTTAATTTTTGTCACTCTTATTTTTGAGGGTAAAACCACTACCTACTTTTGACGAAAATTTAAAATGTATTAACTTCGGCGCTATTGAGCCTAAATACAACATATAATTATGAATGTATTGTACTGCATCGATATAATTTTATAAGAGCTACGCCAGACTATTAGAGTTATACATCAAGTGTTTGACTATTTGGATTTTATAAAAGTCATACAAGTACTACTTCTACATCGTATGGCTTTTTGTAGTTTTTATCGGTTAAATATAATTTTAGATTCGGAGCATAGAAGAATCTATTGGTTTTACAATGATGTTAATATATATTTATATTTAATCTATAAACAACTTTTCTACGAGAAATTTCGCTCCAATTTACAAGTTCAGTATTTTATCTAAAAAGAAATCTAGAGTGATACTTTAGGGAGGTTATTTTTTGATTTTTCCAAATTTTTTGGGTTTTATCATCAAATGTGAAAAAACAAAAGTAAAACGAAGGAAAAACTGAAAAAAACATAGGAAAAATGGGAAAATCGATACAACATTAAACAAATATTATTAAAGAAAATATATGAAGTCAATTTAATTATTTTACTATAATATGACAAATATATTGTTGAAAAAGTATCACTGTCAACCGAACTCCGCTTAGAATCGGTTTTTCGTTAGCAATGGTTTATCTTTGGTTACAGACATACATTAAGTTACCTGTAACAGTGGCTGCATCTGTTTCCATTATCCTAGGATGTCTTTTTATTATTGAGACCTTTCTGATGAAAAACCGGCGAAACTGATCATTACTTACAGATATACATTAAATTATCTATAATATTGGCAGCGCCCATCTTCATTATCCTGGGATAGCTTTTTAGATTCGGAGTCAAATGAGGGATTTATTGGTTATACTATGGTGTGTGCTTTTTAAATTTCGTGGGCAGCAAAGAATATATTGGTTTTATATAGTTATTTATGTATTTATTTTTTTTTTTATACCGTCTCAAAAGTTTACCAGATATCTTGGTCCGATATGTAAGTGTGATATTTTTTTCTGAATGGAAATATTTTCTTGTTGATACTTTTAGAAGGTAATTTTTTGATTTTCCAAGCAGTTTTCATAATATATGGGAAAAACCGTGATAAAACGTGAGGAAAACGAGAAATTTATGAAAATTTTCAATTCTGTTATTTGTTGTAATTCAGTTAAAAATATTAATATAAACTTAAAATTTAGACAGAAAACGTATATTTGACTTTCTAGAGATGGTAAAATGTTCAAAACATTTAAGTCATTTTTGGTATTTTCATACAAATTTTAATTTTTTGTTGAAATTCTATTAAAAATATTTGTATGGACTTTTGGATGTTGGATATTTTCTTAAGGGATTTTACGTGAATTTTTTTGTTATTTTTTATCAATATGAAATCGGTTAAGCTTTATTTTAAAACCATTTTTAATTTTTCATCTCTATTCACATAAACCTCATATAAGTATATACTTTTGTTTTTTAAACCCGTCTTTTTGAACACAGATTTCACAGAAAATATTTTCCTTGAAATTTTAATATGCATACGACTTATTTCAGACTTACTGTTTAAAAGTAATAAACGTTAAAAGTTTGGACTGGAGGAATGGGGTAGAGTGCGATTATGCAATTTATTACCATCCCTATTATTCCAGTTTACATTTTAAACGGTTATAACTCATAAATTGTTAATCTGATATTCGTGAAAAAGATATTCTTCATTTAAATCTGTGTTCAAAAAGGGGGATCCTATTTGAAAAACAAAAGTAAATACTTATTTAAGGTTTATGGAGTAGGGGGAACAAATTAAATAGGTTTTTAAAATAAAGCTTAACCGATTTTATAATGATTAAAAAAACAGAAATTAAATTAATTTGAAACCCTTTGAAAAATTGCTGGTTCATGATAATAAACAAATCGCCCTTGTATTTACATTTTCTAGATATGGTCAAATTTTCAAAACTTCAAAATTAAAATTTTAAAAAACATTTTTAAGCCACTTTTGAGCTATTTTCAGACATTTAAATTTTGTGAATTTTGTATGTAAAATTTATTCGGTAGGAATATACAGATTCCTACCGAATAAATTTAAAATAAATAAACCTGTAGAATTGCTAGACTAAACAGAAATGCTTGAAAATTTAACAGGAGGTTCATTAAAAGTTGTATTGTATGGACAAAAAAAAATATTTTGAACTTAATGAAGTATTTTTTATTTTATAAAGGAATTTCAGTATTAAGTTTTGACGAAAATCATTTGAAAAAATAACTATGTGGAAGTCTAGTAGATTGTAGACTGTAGGAATATAAAATTAGTACAAAATTAGTTTTGTCTGTGAAATAATTATATCCTAAGTTTACACATCTCAATTTTTTTTACAAATCACTTGCCGAAATTTCGGTGTGTCTCGGATGTACAATATTATTTTTAATTTTGTTGTTAAATATCAATAAAATAAGTTTCAAGTCTTAACGTGTATTTATAACCGAATTATAGCATAAAAACTCCCAAAAATTAAAATTCCTTAAGAGCTCAAAAGTGGCTCAAAAATTTGGCGATGATATCATAAGAAAGTAAATAAAAAAAGTATTTTGTGGCTTTTCGATTAAATAATTTTTTCTGGTAGAAAACGTCGTCCGTGTTTTTATAAAATAATAAAATGGTGAAATTTTACGTTTTCTTTCATTTTTTCCCACTTAAATGTTTTTATTTAAAAAATTGCTTCGAAAATTAAAAAATGACTTGTTTAATGTACAATCTAGATAATTTGAGCTTTAAGAAAAGTTGTTACACATAAATATCGGAGCAAGTTTACTAGGAAAAAACGTGTTCACAGATTAGAACAAAGAAAGAAAAATAAATTTACAGCATTGTAAAACCAATAGCTCCCTCGCTATGCTCGGGAATCTAAAACAATACGTTCCTTGTTATACGCTCAGAATCTATAAATTAGTCTAGTACATTAAATGCATACATCAAGTTGATTCTAAATCATTGAAAAATTTATTATTATCGTCACTAATTTTGATATATTGTTACGACAGATTATTTTTATGCAATATAAAATATCGCAAACGTATAAAATAATAATTATATCGATATTGTAATATGGTTTTTTTTATTGACGTTTTCTCGAAATTATAAATTGTATTAATATATAGACGTAAGACTTTATGTGTTTTTAAATAAGATTAAAAACACAGTCACTATAATATTATGTGCTGTAAACTTTCTTTACCGTAAAAAATATAAATAATAATTATTGCTATATTATGAGGGGAGATTTTTTTTTATCCTCGTGAAAATAAAAATGTTGTGTACGCGCTCTTTAAGTATTTTCTGTGACGGTGACATAACATCAACAGTGTACCTACCCGTAATATCGTGTATAATGTTGCCATTATATATATTATTCAGTATGAAAGCGATAAAAAAAAAAAAAATGTAAGGGATTTATTCAATAAGTATTTCATAAATGAATTCATTTTAATAACGTGCGGCATTTTATGTTTTTCATTTGCATGATTTTTAAAAGACTTACCTAATTCGAGAGTAAATGAACGGTTGAAGTAAGAAACATAAAATATAATTTTTTTTTTCTTTATAAACTATTTATGTACTTAGTATTCTTACAATATGTATAGCTAAATAATATATTAAAAGGTTAAAATTCAATTTATTATGATATTATGTAGATCACTTTAATATAATGTAAAGGCTAATGAGTATAAAATTAAGGAATATTTCATTAGTTATCTAATACAATTTGTAAATTTCAGTTACTCCTACAGAAATCAAAGTTAATTTTGAATTATTAATATTATTAATATTGAATAAATAAATAATATTATCTATCTTTCTCGTAGCAAAATATATCCTCTTTTTCGACATATGCTTTAAATAAGTTAATTGCATTTAATTCTACTGGTTTAATTTTCGACAATTATAGAATTAATGATCATTTACAAATATTTAATGAACACTATTCATAAAATATTTTTTATTTTATTACAGACCCCAAAAGAGATTCCATTATTTTTACCTTTACAAAGTTTTGTGCTTTTATTATTTTCGAAAATTACTCGTTCGAGTATACCTATAATAAAAATGGTCGAAAAGTGTTATACATCCCATATTTACATCAATTGATAGGAAATTGAACTGGGGATAATCATCTCTTTAGAGATGACATTTTTCGATCTTCGCAATAGTTTTATCAAGGAACTATCAACAAAATTCGATAACTTTATTGTAGCATGTATCAATTTAAAAAAATTTCGTTTCGGAATCGTTTCTCATATAAAATATTAAATGTGGATATTTTCAATATACTTTGAAAAAAATATGTCAGTGTAATATCGTGATATTTTTTAGTTTTATGTGATTTTTATTTAGTCAGTGTTTGTTTTAACCCCCCCCTCTCCAGATCATTATTTTTTTGAAAATAAACCCTTACTAAGTGGTGGTGAAAGCCCAAAATCCAATAATATTGAGGGACAGTAATATCTGTAATGTAACGACTGTAACGTTCATGCAAAACATGTTTTTTTGTTGACAAATTGTCATCTTATAGAGAAATGAGGTATCAGAACAATTTCACATTCATCAAATGTTTTATCGTTTTCGGTTTATTTGTTATTGTACCAATTAAACCAATTAAACTTTAGTAAGTAGGCAAGTAAAATTAAAATAAATCCATAAAAAACCGTTGTATTTTTGCGATATAATAACCTTAATAAATGATTTAAAAATATTTTAGTATTTAATATTATTTTACATTTTGTATTATTAAATGCATTAATATTATTCAAATATAATATAAGTATTAACTTGAAAATACTGCATGGCGCATTTTGACAACTAATCGTAGACTACAAAATTTGATTTCAGACCGCATATTGCTGTGAAAAAATGAATAAATATTGTGTTCAGACGGCCATTGGAAAAAAAAAAAAAGATTTTAAGATTTCCGAATTGCATGAATAAATCATCTATCAATAAATAAATCCATCAATAAATCTTTAAAGAACAGATATAAAGCTATAAATTAGAAGTAAATTATGTAAACTATACTAGTTTTTAATATTCATGTATAGGTATATCATGTATATTAAGTGTATTCTAAGGCTATGCAACTCTCAATTTATCAATATTATATTTCACGAATAACCACATTTATTTATGATTTTACCTATATCGCGTGGATAGAATAAAAATTGCGTGTTGCAAATGTCAAAGGTATATTCTTAGAACTTAGATGTATCATTAAATAGAGCATACAATATTTTGCAAAACTTTTTAAAAATGTATTTGCACGTTAATGGTTAAAATATAACAAAAAGGAAAACAATTTTTTTTTTTGCTTTATACAAAAGTATTTTTTTTTACATTAGTTGTACTTACTACAAAATGTACATGTCTCTACAGTTTAATGTGTATATACTATGTAAACCTCTATTTTGGTTTAAACTTGCACCTAACGAAAGACTTCCATTGTGAAGCCTCTTTTGACCTACCTGGGAATATCCTATTTTAGTCTTCAAATCACTTTCTTTACTCCTTTCATAAAAAAGGAAGTATTTTGACCTTCTGAGAATATTACTCTTTTTTTCCACTACCAATTGGGTAAGGGCGGATTTGATTTGTCTTCTACTTAGAGGCAATATCCTTTCGGTAAAAATGGTGAATAGCTTTCGTCAGTGGCGTTACTGGGTTAAGATTTTCGGTGTTGTAAAATGTTTTTTATGATCAGTGATATTAAAATATTAATATCCTCTTACCTGATCTTATTGAGGTCTCCTCTTATAAGTTCATCAATCGTTGCAAGCTCAGCCAGACGATCGAGCGATCGAGTGCAACTAACGTTCTAACAATAGACGCGTGCTCCTTGCAAAATTTGGTATTTGGTAATGTTATAACTTTGTGATTCGCGTACGTAATGACGATAGTTTCGTATTATCGGATCGGGCTTCTAAGGCTACGGCGTGTATTTCGGTTATAGATTTCAACGCACGGTGACGCATAGCAACAGTCAACGACGACGAAAGACGAAAAAAAATAATAATGACAACAATATGATCGAAGAAGCTTGGGAAAAACGCTGAAAGTTTAAAACCACGGCTACACCGCGGCGAGTAACAGAACCTTATACTACGACAACGGCGTACAGACGGATGCACGATAATAACAATCACTTATAGATAAAAATATAAAATACCGCGATAACGAACGGCAACTATAAAATACTGCGGAAAATTTAATACGTGCGTAAAATCTTTGACCTTTGCCGTATAGGTACCGAATTAGGTAGACAACGAGGGAAACGCGATAAGACCATTGCGAGTGACAACGAAGCAACGACGAATGCACGCGCGAGTACCTGCACGGTAAAGCACGCGGACAGCAAGGCGATTAAAATATAATAAACTACGCCTGTTTTAACAATGGCTGAAATAATGATAGCACACAAATACGTTTGCCAAAACTAAAATAATACACATCTGACCCGAAGGACCAAAAATGTCGACTAGAATCAAAAAATACGAATAATGATTTATTCATCATATTCCGCCGGTCATATTATTTATCCCGTTTTAGCTGTGGAAACAAAATAACTAATGTCGTAAGGCAACATTTATGGAGAGGAATTTGTGGACTATATGGATGGAAAATGGGGGAAATTACCTGTAAAGATGTTGGCATCAAAAAAGTTGACGGTATTGGCAACCTTTAGTAATGGCAACACAACATGGATTGAGTAATAAATTGGTTTACATATATTGAAGGTTTTGAAGCGTAATGAACTTAAAACTAAGGTTAGTAAGGACCGCGGTCGGTCAACGGTGTGGCGGACAATTGGCATTATAGAAATATAAAATACAGATTAAAAAAAATAGGTCATAAAACTCATGACCTGACTTCCCTAGATTATAACGAAATTAGCTAGCACGGAGTTGGTTGGAAACGGCATTGGTTTGAACGGTTGAGATGAAACGATGACCCAGTATGGCCAAATGGCTGGATAATGGTATAAAGGTACGGTGAATTAGTCGCGGCCGCAAGTAACATAAGCCAATTGCGCCAGACAGCTGGCATACACAAACGCGACGAAAAAGCAGCATGGAGCAACAAAGTTAAATGTATTGACGGGACGAAGGTTAGGATAGCCTGTTCCACGTTGACGCACAACACTATCAACGAGGCCGACAACACAAATAAATCGAGCACGTGACAAGGTGGCCTTAAATGGCGGTTGCAGGTTGTGGTCGTGTTAACGGATGGCACGACAGACGTTGGCATCGAGAAAAAAAAACGAACCGGTATGTCGGTAGCGACAACGAATGGCACAAGCACGAGAGCCCGAGACGACACACCGGCAACGCTCGGTCGTGGCTGAGAATACGGTTGCCGACGGGGCGGCACAGTGCCGGCAGAAAGCTTTGTGGAGACGGCGGGTACGCGGGTACGATTTTGGGCTGAGGCACGCGAGCCTTTAAAGAAAAATGCAATCCGTTCCCGAAAAAAATTTTATTGGGGAGGTTCTTTATGAAAGTAATTTTTTGATTTTCCCCATGAGTTTTTCGAACAAATTAGAAAAAATGGGAAAATTTAAGTGTTAGTTAAAAATAATATTACAGCCTTTTAGATTCTGAGTAGAGTGAAGAAGCTTATAGTTTTACAAAGATGTTATTTTTTTATCTGTACGCAACATTTCTACCAGAAGATTTGCTCGGATTTCTACGTGTAGCACCTTTTCTGAAAGGAAATCGGCCTGTAGAGGTACTATAAAAACGTCATTTTTGGATTTCCCCAAGAGCTTTTTCCGCAAATATGAAAACTAGGATACGAAATGGGAAAACCGGGAAAAACGTAGGAAAACTGGGAAAATCGGTACAACATTAAACAAATATTATTAAAGAAAATTTATAAAGCCTATTTAATTATTTTACTATAAAATGACATGTATGTTGTTTACAAAGCATCACTATCTATCAACTGAACTCCGCTCAGAATCGTTTACTTGTAAGCAATGATATATTGTTGCTAACACGTATATATTAAATTACCTATAACAATGGCTGCACTCGTCCCTATTATCCTAGGACGTTTTTATTTTCTTGTGAACAACTTTTCTATCATTAATTTTGCTCTGATTTACAATGATAACACTTTTTCTAAAAGAGAATTTTACTGGGGAGGTACTTTTAGGTCTTAACTTTTTGATTATCCCGAGGAGTTTTCCAAATTATTTCGAAAAACTAGGAAAAACGGGAAAATAAGTACTATATTAAACAAATATTATTAATGAAAATATGTAATTATTTTACCATAATATGGCATATATATTGTTGATAAAGCAACAACATTATGAACTAGAGGTCAAGATTACACGACTAATGAACTACAGGGATACACGTGATTATATATGACGGGGTTAAAGCTTATGTAATGAAAAATCCGTTTATACCCGCATATTTAAGTACCCGTGTATCTAAAGCCTGAATATTGCTTTATTTAAATAAAATTGTATTATGGTTACTTCGCAGTTCTGGCTTACGATTGCTCCACTTTCTGAACTCAATATTATATAATAATAGATACATATTTATATTTAAAGTATATTTGAATTCTGAATTAATATACAATATACACAGGTATGCACGGGTATTAAATACACGGGCTATAATATGTATTTTTACCCGCGTACCTGTGTGTTCTAATAACCGTTCAAACCACGACCCCTACTATCAACTGAACTTCACTCAGATTCGGTTTTTCGTTAGCAATGGTTTATCGTTACTCGCAGATATACATTCAATTTCCTTTCTACAATCTTCTCAACTTCTCACCTACAATAGTAGCCCACCCACGTGTGATGTTTCCCAGATTTTTAAACTGAATTTTAACAAAATATTTAAATGTTTATAAAAAGTTCAAAAATGTCTCAAATATTTTGAAAATTTTACCATATTTAGGAAAAGCAAATATAAGTATTATATATAATATAATTATACATAATATATTCAACTGAATTATAACAAATATCATAATTTAACATAACAAAAGCATTATTTTTGTAAATAACCCATATTTTATTCGTTTTATCCCGTTTTAACCTAGCCTAGCCTAACCTTCCCAGATATTACGAAAACCACTTGGAAAATCAAAAAATGACTTCCTAAAAGTATCATCTAGAGTCTAGATTCTAGACAATATTTTCTTTCAGAAATGATTCTGGTAGAAATTTTTATCAGAATATAAAAAAATACAAAAATAAAAATCTTTGTAAAACTAGTACATTCTTCGCTATACTCAGAGTCTAAAATGTCAGTATTAGGTATTTTATTCATGAATTTAAATGAAATATTCGAAATAATATTTGTAGAAAATGGATATACGAGATCTCGTGTGCCATTAGACGAGGGTTTCCCGATGGATCCTTCCTTAAATGTTTATATATTTTGTACCTATCTTAAATATTTGTATGTGCCCTCGACATGAATTATGTAGAAAAAAGAAATGGGTACTAAATTACTCGGTTTTATTGAGTATAAAATAATTGTTATTTCGGAAGAATATGGTTGTAAAATATCATTCTTTATATGGCACAACAATACAAGAGACGTATTGACTTTATATAGACGATTTATAGAAATAAATTATTGTCTACTTTTGAATTAATTGTACGTATATACTTGTTTTACATTCATAATATAAAATAACCTAACACATTTTTTTTTATATTTTATTGTATTTTAAATACACAATCGTCCCTTACACTTTTCTTAGTTCAGTGATTCTAAGTGACTGTTTTTTCATTTATTATTGTTTACCTCTGTCTTATCTGTCATATTTTATCAATATATTTACTTTTTTTAACTGCCAGTTGTCATAATATTCAAATAGATAAACAATAAATAAATAATAACTTATTTTTAAATAAAAGTAAATAAAGCATCATTTAAATTCGATACCAATATTTATTTATTGATATAAACTATCGCTTCTATAGATTTGATTTCATTCCCACTCGTTTTGAAAATTAAAAACGTACTATACTTTTCTACTTTACAGTGCATGTGAATCGTGTAAGATTTTTTATAGTAATTTATTATTACGTATTTCGTACGGTGATTCTGAATAAATCAACAAAATTAAACCAATCGACATTTGTTGTAATTTTTTTTTAGTTCTGTAAAACAACTGCTAAGAATCCGAAAATGTTTTCAAATAAATTATTACCAGATAAAAAAATTTGAATATTTTAAGATACGATGTGAATGATTTGGAGTATTTTTACTAATTCAAAGTATTTTCAGAGAAAAAACACACGTATCTTAATAAATCTGATAGCTTCTTCATTAGTTCGTTATACACTCAGAATCTAAAATAATAAGTTTTTAGAAGAATAATTATTGTGGGTTGATCAGAAAAGAAAAAAACAAATACCAATGTCTCACCAATAGAAAAACCATTTTGAAAAATAATTATAATCACTTCGATGCTTCCAAAGCCGTAGTCACTTGTCACACCCAGCCGTTATAAAAGTAGTACGTTACAGAATAGGTATTTGAAACCGTGAGCACTTCTGTCAATATAATATTGCCTATACAAATAAATTTCGAAATCTATTGTTTTTCTTTATTATCATCATAATAAAATACAACAGAATACTGCACGTAATACAGGCTATGAAATATCTTTTTTAATTTAAAATACACGTACCTCATAATATAATAGTATATAATTACAATATGCTATACTTTATAAATAATAAAAGTTTCTTCTTTTAGATTCTGAATGGAGCGAAGAAGCTTATGGTTTTACAATGATGTTTATTTTTTTTATTTTTTTTTATCTATGAACAACTTTTCTACCAGCAATTTTGTTTCGATTTACAATAAAAGTACTTTTTCTAAAAGAAAATCTGACTGGGGAGGTACTTTAGGAATGACATTTTTTAATTATTCCATGAGTTTTTTTAATGAATGAGAAAAATCGGGAAAATAGGTACAATATTGAACAAATATTGTTAATGAAATGTAATTATTTTACCATAATATTACATATATATTGTTGACAAAGAAATACTATCAACTGAATTCCGCTACGGATCTTTTTTCATTATCAATAGTAAATCGTTGCTTACAGATATACATTAAATTCCCGTCTGTATCCTACCTTCTAAACTTCCCACCCATATCAGTGGCTGCGTACGTCTCCATTATTCTAGCACACCTTTTTTTTCCTTTATTTGAGCGGGCATTCGGCGTGGTGAAGCGTTCGCCTTTTCTTCAGTTTATCTGACAGCAATGGGAAATGTGTTTTAACAATATTTTCCCACTACTCTCGTCGTTTATTCTTTGAATTATAAGTAATGTTTACAAAAATATCACTTTTATTTTCACGGGGCAGGCTCATATAAATAAAATAATTAAATCATAATGTAATCTTAAGGTTGAGCTAGCTGACATCCCACACCCACTGATCTTACTTAAGTAGCCGGTTGACTCTCGTCTTAGCCTCCCTGATTTTCCCATCCTGCTTCTTGTGGAGTTTTTTCCTCTATAAAATGTAGCCCTATATAATATTTTTTAAACGAATAAAACCGTATTCTTTTTTCACAGCCGGTATTCGTAACTAAATGGATTTGAATATTAGTTTTCTATCCGAAATAATTTACGAAACCAATTAAATATATGGTTCAATATGGTAAATCACAAATTTTAAATATCATGAACGAAAACTTGAACACATTTTCAGTTACATATTGTATGTACTATTATACTATATGCAATGTGGAACAACTACCCAACTAATTATAGTTTTGTACTTAAATTCACAGAAAACATATATGTCACTATAACAGCAATTTTCTTAAATAGATTACTTAATATGCCTATATTTTCTTAAACATATATTGTTGTGCTTGTATAATTTTACAATATAATATATGTATTAAGTGCTTCACGTTTTGAGTTAGTGACTTCATTATTTGCATAATCATTTTTGATTATGTAAATAGCTATCCATTCTAAAACATAATCTATCAAATTTTTCAATTGTTTTTTTTAAATTATAATATCAAACCAACCTTTTATCTAATAAAGTAGGTATATACGTATGTAGGTATCAATAATTCACTAGCGAGTATAGGTACGATAAAATTATTCAAACTAACACGGTCCTATAAAACTAAAAATATTAAATATATAATTTATATTATTATGTATTTAAGTAGTTATTAAAATATTAATGTGTACATTTAGGGCTAAAACTAGCCCTAACTGAATTCAATACTAAAAAGTATTTTTTGAAAAATATGAGTTTATTGATAGCTAGTACAGCATAAAAAAAAAATATCCCGGAATCGTAAAATAATCAATTTTAACTTAACATTGACCTATTCTACAAAAAAAATAAAAATAAATACTACATAACATTGGATTAGTATAAAGGTTATTTTTGTTCTTAATAATATTGAAAGCTGTTTTACGTAAAAATTTATTTCAGAATATTTTATTGAATAACTTATAAGTATCTTAAAAAGTAATGTTTAGATTACGAAAACATCACTGTTTTTGCTATAACCAACAATCTTGTAATAAAGTAAAAACAAAGTTATTGAAATAATTAGTACTTGTAAATAAATATATAAATAAAAAATGTATGTATAAATGATACTGAGGACGGGTGAACCTAACTGAGTGAAATACTTCGATTTTTTCACGCAGTATGTAGACAAATAATGAAATGCCGGTGGTATTTTACTGGAAACACATTTTGAAATATTTAATAATTTGCCCTGTGTTCTTTTTTTTTTTTCTATGTCTTCCTTCATTTAATTTTTTATATTCATTTTGACTGTAGTATCCTTAATTTGAATTTTGAATTTGAATTTCTAATTCAAAACCGGTCGTATAATACACTTATTATAATACTTCAGGCGATGCATGTATTAATTAATTAATTTTTTATACATATATAAATATTTACTATATTTACTAACCATTTTAATAATTTTGCTTTTACTTTATTATTTTATTATTAAAAATTATATGTTGAATTGCTCTGCTAATGATTGCAGGTAATATTTATACTTTTGATTTTAACTAGTTAAGTTATTTTATATTGTCTCAAATTTTTTTATTTTATTGCATTTTTTCAATAACTAATAGTTTTATGATTAAAATTCACAATTATATTGTTATATTTATCATTGTGTAGTGTGGACCACACCTATTTATTATCAATTGTAATCTTTTACTGCTGTAATTTAAATGTTTATAAATAAATAAAATAAATAAAACGAGTGTTTGCCGATGAAATAACTGTATTTATTTGTATAAAAAACAACGAAAAAGACGTCGTCGATCTAAACGAGACGTTCGGTATTGCTTATGTTCGAGTCAACGTTGGTCCGTGAATGGTACTGACAGTGGCGTACTGAGGAGGTTTTTATTGGGAAGATCAAAATTGATAGTTTGGCCAACTCAAAAATTTTATCGAGGATAATTTGTTATAGTTATTTCACCAAAGCCATTCATCATTAGAATGTTAATAATAATATATAATTTTTAATTATATAAGTAAATATAACAAGTTAATAAATTATTTAGAATTGTTAAAGAAATTGTCAATTATAAATATTTTCATCATTATCATTATTTATCATTAAACCAAATTTTTTTAGAGGAAAGCAACATTGAATTGTTTAACCTAACATCTTCTTGGGTTGTTTTTAAATAGTTCTTGACTATTTTAAATTTGCTAAAAAATGATCTTTCATTGCCAGCGACGATTACAAGTAACGAACATGATAACTTCTTCTTCTCCTTTTTAAGCTTTTGCAGTCCTTATCCACGCTGTTTGTTATTGTTACACTCTGAGTGCACTTGATCGGATCATCATTGACCTTGTCTGCTCAGTGCTGTCTAAAGCGACCTCTAAGTCTTTTTCCATTCATTTTTCCTTCCAGGATCTTCCTTAAAATACCATTTGACCTCCATAAATGGCCTGCCCACTAAATTCGCTTACTCATAAAGTACGCATTGATATTTGGTTTTTATTAGATTTGCTGCAATTCGCTATTAGTTCTTCTATAAATTTAATTTTCCAGGATAGGTGTATATATCCTTCTAAGTACTCTTCTTTCAAAACAAGCCACTTTTTCTTCATCTCCTTTAGTAATCGACCGTGTTTCACACGCTATGTTAAAACTGGTCGTTAGAAACACGAGTATAAGAGTTCCTTTGATCGTCTAGAGAAAAGCTCTTTGCTATTCCTAGATATGGTAAAATGTTTAAAATATTTGAAACATTTTTGAACTTTTTACTTTTTTTTTAGTTTTACTAGTTTATTTTTGTATTTTTTTTATACTCTGATAAAAATTTCTGCTAGAATCATTTCTGAAAGAAAATATTGTCTAGAATCTAGACTCTAGATGATACTTTTAGGAAGTCATTTTTTGATTTTCCAAGTGGTTTTCGTAATATCTGGGAAGGTTAGGCTAGGCTAGGTTAAAACGGGATAAAACGAATAAAATATGGATTATTTACAAAAATAATGCTTTTGTTATGTTAAATTATGATATTTGTTATAATTCAGTTGAAAATATTATGTATAATTATATTATATACAATACTTATATTTGCTTTTCCTAAATATGGTAAAATTTTCAAAATATTTGAGACATTTTTGAACTTTTTATAAACATTTAAATTTTTTGTTAAAATTCAGTTTAAAAAGCTGGGGAACTTCACACGTGGGTGGGCTACTATTTTAGGTGAGATATTGAGAAGATAGTAGAAAGGAAATTGAATGTGTATCTGTGAGTAACGATAATTTAAAGATAATTTAAAGCCGTTAGAGAGGAAACATTAAAACCTATCTACTGTTTTTGCTTTTTTAAATATTTTTCAAGTGGTTTTTTGATGTTTTTAATTGTTTTTTTGTGAATTTTAAATACAGTAAGTTCAGATCATTAAATTGTATTAAACATTAAATCTAAAATGGAGTATTATATCATTTTCTTAGTAGGTACTTACTGTTCGAGTTCCCGTTCTTTGAAAACGTTTCACCGGTGTCGTGTGAGAATAATAAGTATATGCATACCTACCCTAAGTAGGTACTAGGTACTTATACAGATGGTTATATAAATAGAAATATTATAACCATTAGACACTGCCGAACACAATTTAGTTTTTTACAACTATAATGTCACAACGAAATGCACGATGTACAGATGATGCTTACAAAAGGAGGAAAAAGAAAGATATATTATTATTGGACTTTTCCGAACTTCTCATAGTAGTGTATTTAACGTTTAAATATGATGTATTTAGTACCTATATATTATAGGTGGCCAACCGTTGATTGTAATCGACCAGTAGACCACAAACGAAATTTATGATTTAGAAATTTAGATTCTGAGAAGAGCGAAGAAGATTATTATTAGAAACATTCCTATTATTAAAAAATGGAGCAAAACTGCTCGTAGAAGAGTTGTTCACAGAAAAAAAGAAAGCCTTAATATATTTTATCTAATAATTAAATTTCTTATATTTTCCCGTTTTTTTTTCAGTTTTTCAAATTTGATGAGAAAATTCACCTACCTGATTACTCTCAATTTAAATTTCAAAATATACTATGTTAAACACTATAAATCATATCAACCAAAATGATGGAATGATTATTTTCATAAGAGACACTCAAATATCTGAATCAAATACAAATTATATGTCTAGTATAGAAATTAAATTTAAAAAAAAAAAAAAAAAATGTAATTTTTTTAGTTTATGGGATTTACAGGCCACCTATTACAGATTAATTCTTTTTTGTATGAGTTTGAACATAACATATTACAAATATCTATGTTGAAAAATTCTAATTGTACAATTATAAAATTCATTGGGTATAAGCCTCAATGTGGAGAAATATCAAACTATGACGTTCGCTAGATGTCGATCTGTTATTTCTTTTCAATACAATGATTCTACATTTGTATCAGTAAAGAGTGTAAAATACCTGGATTTTATTTATACTCCTACACTTGATTTTCACCCACACATTAAATTATCTTCTTGCATGAGTATTCTTTAAAATCTTTTTCTTGTTCCTTATTTCGATCTATTATTGATTGTGGATCGACGTTATGGGATCCTCACACAGCGTCAAGCTCCCTACAGCTAGAGCGCGTCCAGAGACGCTTTTTATTATTCGCTTCCTGAGTTCTGAAGATTAGTTATGCTCTATATGACTATTTCCCTGTCCTCAGCGTACTCAAACTCACATCATTGGCTAATAGAAGAGCAGCTGCAAAATTATCATTTCTACATAAACTCTTAGATGCTCCCACTCTTCTTTCCAGTATTCTCTTCAAAGTGCCATAGTTTTCCCTCCGTCTCCATACCCTTTTTTCTGTGCTGAATTGTCCTATAAACTATGGTCCCAGAAACCCTTTCTATCGTATTATGCGCATGGCTAATGAAAAACCAACCTTTTTACCATAACCACTTTGTATTTTTGTATCATTATTTTTCTGTTAATCAAAAATTATACTCATATGTAATATGTAATTAGACTTGCCCATAATTTTTTAAATAAATAAATAAATAAGATTTCAATGCCCTTATGAGGCCTTAGTTTTTTTTTTTTATGTAAATGTATATTACTATTATACAGTGTATAAATTATATTTTTTTAATTAATAATAGGGGAGCGTATTTACCAACAATTTATGTTAATACAAAATTAATAACTCGATTGTCATAAAAAATCGTAATATTTTAGTAATATATTTCGTACATTTTCTCGTTTTTTTTTTGGTTTTGCATATTTGATGAAAAAAGTCCTGAGAAAATCGAAAACCGACTCCTTTAAAGTACCTCTCCACGCAAATTTTCTTCCAGAAAAGTTGTCACATGTAAAAATCCGAGCAAGTCTTTTGATAGAAAATTTGCGCATAGATAAAAAATAAATAAATAAACATCTTTCTAAAACTATAAGTTTCTTCGCTTCACTTAGAATCTGAAATTAAAATTTGTATTGGTACATTATAATAATAATAATAATATTTATTTTAATATATTTTGTACAGTTATTTAACTAAAACTTTCCAATTAATTATACTAAAAAAAAGAGATTTTCAATGGGTGATCTTGTAGATAATGTACCTATTATTATCACAAATCACAACGTGGTTTGACCTAATCAAGAAAGAACATAGATTATAATATAATATATATTTATAACTATAAATATTTCTTTATTATCTTGAATCGGCCTTACCGTCTGTAGAGATTATCAGTTATAACCTTTATATTTTGGGAGCTTTTACACTGTTATCACCTTAAACTTCCAGTGTAATACATAAAACTGTCGGTGAAACGAAATTCACACAGATTTTTAACTATACATCACTACTCTCTACCCGCAAAAAACATAAAAGTGGAATTTCTCGTCAACGTGTTGACAAAAAATCAAAAATGTCAACACCAATATTTATTTTAAACAATACTCCATTAGGTATTTTGATAAGGCATTTTCAAAATAGGTTGTCATTTTAAAATCAAAAGTAGGTAGTCTTTTCACTCATAAAAATAAGGGGTACAAAAAAAACAAAAGATAACGTAGCATTTTCGAATTTCGATTATTAAGTTTTCAAAAAACAAATTTCGAAAAAAGTTAATACGTTTCGAGATAATTAGTGTTTCCAGTTGAGTGTATCACCCTGTATATTGGGCTTACCGCCTGTAAATGAGTAAATAAATAATTGTATGTATTATTATATGATTCTTAAATATTGTTTTACTAATTTTCGTATTTTTTTAGTTAAGAGAAGATATTCTATAACAAGATCGTTTATTCAAATACCACTGTATTAGTGGGCTTTTACGTCTTTTAAATGTTCTAAGTTGGTAACATTGAGTGCAACCAGTTTACATGATCCGGATATATCTGTCAAATAATTTCCCTCTTTCTTACTTAATAATAATATCAATAATGAAATAATTTATTTAAATTATAGAATTGTGGATTCTCAGTGACAGGTATAAAGTTCCAAATTCTAGAAATTAGGTTCTAAATTGTTACAAATAAGTTCCAAAATATCGGTATAGGTTTGAAGTCGACCGGAAAAAGTGGGAAGGGGATGTGTGAAGTTAGCCTTTCCAACAGAAAATGCCAGTTCGTGAAAAATGTATGAAGTTCTAAACTAAATTTTGAAAACAAGGTTCCAAATTGTTCCGAATAAGTTCCAAAAATGTTCCAAAATATAGATGAAGGTTTGAAGTCGATCGAACAAAGTGAGGGGGAGGCAACTTCACGTACGTCAACCTCAAAAATATCTCTGACTCTGTTCTTGAATGTAATGAACAGGTATAGAACTTTTTTCAGTGACGAAGAACTCACTACTAAACTATCACATGATATAAATATTATATTGTATTATTAATAATGCTAACAGCTAAGATTAACCAATTATTATATATAACAGAGATCAGAGAAATGTAATCCTGTCGACATTAATTTATCCGAAATATACAATATGAAATATACAAAATGAAGTAAGTATTTAAACGATCATAGATGGATGAAATACCTAGAATTATATGTGTAAATATTTTTAGATTGGGAGCATAGTGAAGGATCTGTTGGTTTTACTATGATGTGTGTATTCGTAGTTTTTATTTTTTGTGTCTGTGAACAACATTTTTTATCACTTTGCTCTGGAATAGACTATAGTACCTTTTCTAAGGTAATTTTAATTACCTCGATGCATTTGGGAGGTAATTTTTTGATTTTCCGAGGGGTTTTCAAAACAAAGAGAAAACCCGAAAGAAAATAACTAAGTAAAACGGCAAATATTTACAGCATGCCGTAGCGTCAACGATATCATTGTTTTTATTATGTTTACAATGATGTTTTTAACCATCAGAAATACAGAATGATTTTTTACCATAGATCAGCAATTTACTGGGAGGATTTTAAGTGAATTTGATTTCTGTGTTTTTTTAATCATTATGGAATCGGTTAAGCTTTATTTTAAAACAATTTGTCTTTTTTACCTACTCCATATACTTTAAATAAGTAAATACTTTTGTTTTTCAAATATGAATCTCCCTTTTAGAATACAGATTTAAATAGAGAATATTTTAATAGAAATCGTAATGTGCATAATACTAATATCAGAAATAATAAAATAATAAAGCAAAAACAAAATTATTAAAATGGTTAATACGAGTAAATAAATATTACTGATAAATTAATATCAGATTTATCGTTTATAAGTTATAACCATTTAAAGTATAGACTAGAGAAATAGAGAAGGGTAAAAAATTGCATGATTAGTCTCCAAAAAAAAACAGAAATCAAATTCACTTAAAATCCTGGAGAAAATTGCTGGATCGCGATAAAAAAAAATCACAATACATTACTTTAATCTAAAAAAGACAAAAATCGAATTTGACAGAGGAAGTCGTTCTTTGATATCTAAATTATTTTGCGTAATAAATGGAAAAAACCAAAATATACGATACATTTCTACCATAAATATAGTTCCAACAAATAAACGACAAGACCTTGTTTGTTCTATTTTTAATCAAGTTTATGAGTAAGTTGTTCGGTTTTTTTGGTTTTCTTTGTGGTTTCATCAATGATTAGGAATAACCGGAAAACACTTAAAATGATACCTGACAAATTTAAGGCGTTACGATTTCATAATTTCATATTTTTATGCTTTCCATTTTCTACCATAAATATTTTTTAAATAGAAAAACATCACGAGTTCTTTTTTGTGAAATTTTAAATTCTGAGTGAAGCGAAGAAGTTTATGGTTTTACATAGATATTTATTTTATTATTATTTTTTTTATCTGTGCGTATTTTTTCTATTAGAGACTTGTTCAGATTTTTAAGTGTATTACCTCTTTTGAAAGGAAATCTGTGTGGAGAGGTACTTTGGGGAAGTAATTTTTCGATTTTCTTAAGTTTTCTCGTCAAATGCGAAAAACCACAAAAAAAAAAAAAAAAACAAGAAAATTTACGAAATATAATAAATATAATTTTACGATTTTTTTTTTTAGATTCTAAGTGGAGCAAGGAATTATTGGTTTTATAATAATATTTATAATTTTTTTTTCTGTGGACAACTTTTCTACTAGTGATTTTGCTGAAATTTACAATAATAGCACTTTTTTGAAAGGAAATCTAATTAAAGCGGTACTTCAAAGACCTAATTTTTTGATTTTTCTAGGAGTTTTTCAATAAATGGGAAAAACCGGGACAATAGGTATAAAACAAACAAATATTGTTAAAGAAAATATATAAATTATTTTTAATTATTTTACTTTTAATTTGACAAAGCAATACTATTAACCGAACTCAGATCAGATTCGTTTTTCGTTAGCAATGGTTAATCGTTTCGTACAGGTTAGGTATACATTAAATTACTTACAACAGTGGCTACATCCGACCCCATTATCCTAGGACGTCTTTTTTATTTTGATTTTGTGTATATTTTCGATTTAAGAACGATAGTAAAGTCAAAATTGAGCGGGCTGACTTAGTGGGGAAGATGGGATACATAAAATTGTTTATACCTGTAAATTTATACCTGTAACCGGCGATGAACCATTAAGGACGAAAAATGATTCGTAGCAAAGTTTGGTTACATATGTTTTGAAAGGCTGTAATATTTACGATTGTCGATTGTACAGCAGCTATATTAAATGTGTGTTTATGCATGGTTATATACTCCGGTAGTCTGCTCTTCATGATATGATGGTCGTATTAGGGCACTACCACAATAGCCGCTGTCACACGCACAAGAGTTTTTTTCCAACACTGAACACGTGGTATTGCTCCACGTGCTAGTGCAAGTTAATTATAGTTTATATTTTAATCTTGAGCAGTGTCCAGCAGCTACTTTAGCAGCCCTCTTCGTCATCACCAACCAAGTACTGATACTACTTGTTTTTTTTTCATTAGGATGATGAATTTCTTGGTTTTCACAGTCATTTCTTGGTTTTCTTGGTCTTCACATTCATATTCTTACAACTGTAAAAACATTATTAGATTACGTACGTTAAACAGGCCCCCATAACTATATAATTATTTAGTTCATCATTTGTTTATATTTTTTATTTCAAATTTGTACGACCATTATAACAGAGGTACAGAAAAGGGGATATAAAATGCTTCTTTAGCACCGGATTTTTAAAAAAAGTGAAAATGTATGTTTTTTGTAGTCATATTTAATACAAAAAAAAAGGGACTGATACTGGGGATGGATGTGCCACTGTTGTAGGTTAGATATTAGGAAAGTATGATACATAAAATGCATACATTTATTTCTGTAAGCATAGATAAACTATTGCTAATGATTTTTTTTTTGAGTTTTCAAAATTTTCTGAAAGGAAATCTGATTGAGATGGTATTTTAGGGAAGTCATTTTTTGATTTTACCTGGAGTTTTCATGATAAATGGATAAAACCGAAGAAACGTAGGAAAACGTGAAAAATTTACGAAATATATTATTTTCAAATCATATATATTACGACATTTCAAAACATGACGTATAACCGAACTCTGTTAAGAATCATTTTTCGTTAGCAATGATTATCGCTGCGTACAGATATACATTAAATTTCTCTTCTACCTTCCAACTTTTAACCTTCTACACCTATGGTGCAAAGTATGTTTGTTTTTAATTTAGTTCGTGAGTAAGAAAGTGGTTTTTTGATTTTCCCTGCAGTTTTTTTTTAATAATTTAAAAAAGCTGGTATATATATTTTGTTTACATATTTTATATAAATTTTATCAAATCTAAAATAACAAAGTATTCAATTACCCGGTAATATAAAATTTGTTTATTTGTCTTTTATAATTAATAAATACTAATAAATTACTTAGTGTAGTATTTTTTAAACTTTTCGTGTAGAAATAACTATTTTATTTCTTTTTGGTTTTAGTCAGTGCTTTGGGGAACTCATTTTTTATTTTCTTGGGACTTTTATAATAATTGGATAGAGAAATAAAGGAAACACGGAGAAATATTTATGGTGTGCCACGGCATTGTGAAACAACTACCTACTTTTGATTTTCAAATGGTGACCTATATAAAAAATTCAATAAATAGACAGAGTAGTAGTTAAAATAAATTTTGGTGTTTAAATTTTTAATTTCCGTCAATTTGTTGACGATATATTCCACTTTTTAGTATTGTTCGGGGGAGAGTAGAGTAGTCCATTATTAAAACGTCGCGCTCTGTGCCGTCACACAAATGATGCTCTACGCAAGGAGAGTATCCTTCGACACAAACTTTAAAGTGGAATATACCGTCAACGAATTGACGGAAATTAAAAATTTAAACACCAAAATTTATTTTAACCACTACTCTGTCTATTTATGGAATTTTAAATATAGGTCACCATTTAAAAATCAAATAGTCGTTTCACCTTTAAAAATTAGGGTGACAAAAAATAACATAAAAGTAAAATTGCAGAGCTGCTTATTTCTATAATTTTCTATTAAACAAATTTCGAAAAAATTTAATATTTTCCGAGACAATGAGTGTCTTATGATAGATTGATTACTTTGTATTTCATTATATATGTATATATATATTGAAATATTTTGGAGTTTTTGAAAATACATTATTAATAGTTAAGGTGACACTGGTATAGGTATAATTATATAATTATATTATATAGCTATATGATTCACGTGAGTAGGCACACTGCATGGGGCAAAAAATACATTCTAGCAATAAATGGGTTTTCTCCACCGTTAGAAATAATTATATATATTCAAACTTTAGAAGGTTACTGCATACATTTTTTTGAAAATACTATTATATATTAGAAATTCAAATTATTTCATAAAATAAAAAAAACTGGAAGGATATAGGTGGCAGGAGAAGTAATTTAAAGCTTAAATGTGATGCGTAATTAAGGTGTTAAAGGGATAATAAGCAGTAATTAATGGGGTAGAAATTATAAGGAAAGATCGCTCCTCCATTAGTTCTTTTTATAATAAATAACGTTGATATACTATTATAGTATATCTATAAGTAAAGGCAGGGCATTGAAATCGAAATCGATTTTAAGTATCGGTTAAATCCGTTAAAAAAATCGATGCTAATATCAAAATTATTGAAAAATTGAAATTGTATTAGTATTATTATCATAATAATTAATATAAGTAGGTATTGTATTAATATTATTAATCTTGTTTTGTGGCACTTACAAAATTTAACTTATTTAATGTTTTAAAGGAATACAAGAAAAAATCTAAGTATTTCACTTGCTAAAAAGTGTTTAAAAAAAATATATATATACATATAAATTGAAATTTTTTTGGGAAAAGTATTCAAAATTTCAAAAAAATGCCTAACAAAGTATAATAGTATACATAACAGTCGAGTAGGAAATAATATTTCCCCATTTTCACTACCGTTACAATTAAAACTAAAAAGTTGAGGTTTGGTCAGATCGGGTAGCTCTGTTGAATATTTTAGCTTTTAAGATTTCCCGAGGATAAAAATAATACGAAAATGGTCTTTTGGATTGTCGATATTATGTTAATTAAGCGTCAAAATTGTTTGAATATCGTGGTTCGAAATGTTCTTCAAATCAACTAGGAAATAATTGGAGAAATATAATTATATACCACGTGTAATTAATTTTTATATAATTATATATTAAATACTTTGTGCGAAAATAGAATATGTATAAATCACTTAGCTGTTGTGTCGTTTTGCTGAAGAGTAGACGAGCCTGACTAATTGCATCACCACTACTATAAATAGGTTATGTTAAGTTGTTGCAGTATGTTGCACAGCTGATATCCTTCGGTATCCGTCGATAGCTAAAAGTCCCGACCGTGGTTGTGTTTGAAAAACTCGTGGACTACTTATTTATATACAGTATGACTATACGCACACACGGGTCTGCTGAGTATAATAAGTATAGAACTCGTTAGTGTGTGTGCATGCGTCTGGTATTGGTGGAAAAACACCGTGAGGGTTTCACCAGGTGAAGACTTAAATTAGTCAAAAGCTTACGTACCTGACTTTCCCAAATAATCGTGTATGTAAACGATACCATCCTTACCGGATTACAGGCACTTGATGGGTATTAGCACACATACAAACATATAAACACACACAAACACACATGCGTGTCAAACACACATCTATACAGTACCTCCAAAGGTGTCTGGCGGTTCCGCACCCCTGTATAATTCAATTATATATTAGACCACTTATATGGTATAATGATGATATATCATGTGGTTACGTAATGTCAGCAAACGACGAGAATACTTATAAACTACGTGTTAAACTGGCTCACCGGACGCGTTCCTGGTGCCACCATGCCCAGCCGTACAAATGCTCATCCCCTCGGGAATTGTCCTTAGGTCGCTATCGAAATGTTCAGGAAATGGGTGACTATTAATAACAATATAATAGTCATTAAACTGTATACGGTAGCCCGATATTTGTAACGTATGTGACCGCGGGTCACACTTAGTGTGATTCATAGAACTCGACCGAAACGTAAAGAAATAATATGTAACTAATAATATTATTATGTATACCCGTACCACCTAATATAACCTAACCCAATGTATACCGTTCATTGAGCCGGATTAATAATAAGCATATTAGTTTTCTGCGTACCGGAGTAGATATAGTTTTTTGTGACAGTAAGAACATGCAGGTACACTATATTTGTTCAAACAATAAATAAATAAATTACATTAATTATTTATTCGTATATTATAATATTATAACATTATTAAATAAAAATAAAAATAAATAAACCGACGGGATATAATCAAACAGTGTCAAAAACCACTGTTGATGAGAATAGCTCAGGAAAGTTAGGTCGTAGAAAATTAAATAATATTTAGTTTAGTACTTAATTCAACGATATATCGATCCTGAATGAAACATGATTAAACACATAATTATTCTAAATTTAACTACATAAAATAATTTATGATTTTTTAACTATTCATAGGTTTTCTTGGTCACACGGATGAAAATTTTGTAGTCATGGATAAGAAAACTATTATTATTATTATTATTATTATTATTATTACTATTATTTACATTATTTTGTAGCAATAGCAAAACATTGTAGGGTCAACTAGTACAGGGGCGTCGTTTCACCTTCCAGGTGAAACAATGTATTATGTAAAATATAATAAACACAATAATTTAAAACAAAGTCATATAGGTAGTAACAACTCAATAATATCTACCCGAAGGTATTTTAAATAAGCACAATTTAATTACGAGTAGGCACCGTAGAGAGGAATGTATTGTTTTCACATTGATGTTTATTTGTAGATTCGGAGCGTAGTGAGGGATATAATAGTTTAACTATGATGTGTGTTTTTTTTTTATTTTTCTTTCTGTCTGTGAATGAATTTTCTACCAGAAAACTTACACCGAAATATAGATTGTTGCACTTTTCTGAAACATAATTTTCTCTATTTGGTGCGTTGAGGAAACAACTTTTTGATTTTTTAAAGGGTTTTTGAATTAATTGGGGAAAACTGAAAAAAAATTATAGGTAAAACAACAAATATTTAAGGCACGCCGCAATGTTACCGTTTTCATTGTTTTTAGTATGTTAACACCATTTTTTATAATAATACGAAATATTACTGCAATCGAAAAATTAAAAGAAATCGATTTTGTTACTTTTATATTTCGCTACTGACGGAATAAGTCGTTTTTCAATGTACAAAGTAGCTTTCCAAATAATTGGGATAAACCAAAAACTTAAAATTGAATAATATTTACGGCAACAAAGCATCCCTGTTTCATTATATTAATATGTTTAACTTATTAGATTACATAATTTACCAGAAATATTATTCCTATCGAAAAATAACAGGAAGTCGATTTTGTTTCCTTTTAGCACATAGTCACTGACAAATAAAATCATTTTTTTGATATCTAAAGTATTTTAGATTCCAAGCGTAGCAATCTGGTTTTGTGCGAGGAGAATACATATGTAGAAAAAAATTTGATTTTTAAGTTCATCCCTTAATTATTGAAAAATAATAAGTTTTTATTTTATCGATTTACAATAGCCATTTAGTAAAAGATATTATTTTAAACATTTTAATGTTTCATACATTTATATCCGATCAATAGTTTCTTACTAATTGCCGTTTCAATATCTAGAAAAATGTGTGAAAAACTAGACTACCACGTTACGCAATAACGCAAATTATAGTTGTAATACAAGATAATGAAACTGTCAAATGATAACAATTTTTACACTAAGCAGATTTCCATTTGATTCTATAAAGGTACCACGAGCAACGGAGCGAACAGTTTATCACCGTTATGTTACGCTTACGGTAGGAAACAAATTTACCAGTATTTATAGTGATTACAAAAAAACTGATATCCCGGTTTTAATCAAACCTAGTTATTAATTTAATCGTATAATAAAAGCCGGGTCTACGGTTATGTTTTGGTTTTCTGTGATACCAGTAGCAAACCGAAGACGTTCCGTTCACTAACAGATAGAGATAATATATATTGATTTTAACTGTTGTATAATTGAAATTATTGTAACTGTCATTTTTATAAAAGGCTTATCAATTATATCCATTGCAAATGTTAGTTATTTTCTATTAAATAGTTATAGTTAGTTTTAAAAAATAGTATAACCAAAAGTAGTAAAGTAGGTAGTTTTAAGGTAAAGTGGTTTAATAAAGATATTATTTATTTTTTTAAAATTTTTTTTATCCTGTGTACAAAAATTCGACCATAAATCTTGCTCAGATTTATACGCATAGCACCATTTCTAAAAGGAAATGTTATCCAGATGGTACTTTTGGTAGGTCATTTTTTGATTTTCCAAGTGATTTTCATAATCTAGGAAAAACAAGTATACAATTTAAGAAAAACGGGAAATTTACTAAATTTATTAGTTTTATCCTTTTATCAATTTTGTTATTTGTTGTAATTCAGTTAATAATATTCGTAGAGGCCTGAAATTTGGGCAAAAAACTTATATTTGCAATTTCTAGACGTGGTACAATTTTCAATACATTTAAGCTATTTAAAAAAAATTTAATATTTTTGTTGAAATTCAGTTATAAATATTCGTATCAAGTCTATAGACTAGGCATTTGAATAGAAAATGTACTTTTTATAGACGTGGTAAAATTTTTAAAAATGTTTAGCCATTTTTGAGCTATTTACAGACATTTAAATTAACTGAGTTTTGTATTAATTTTTATTTGGTAGGTACTCTGTGGTAAAATTGTTAGACTAAATGAAATGCTTGAAAATTTAACAGGAGGTTCATTAAATCTTACTTTATGGTAAAAAAAAAAAAAAACTGAGTTCAATATAGTATTTGTTTTTATAAAGAGATTTTGATACTACATTTTGACGAAAACTGTTTGAGTAAAAAATTATGTGGAACAAATCAAATTTTTCAATTTTTTTTTTGAACATGTGTGTATTGTCGATTTAAGAAGGATGGTAAAGTCAGAATTAAGCGGACTGACTAAATTTAAAAATTATAGCCCGTTAAAGTTCAGATATTATGCAGATATTACATATTTATAGTTAATGTTTAATAACTCTATATTATCTACTTGACTATACGTTTGTTGTATTCGAATGGTCAATACGAATAGTCATATTAAGGGTGAAATTTTATTAGGGGTCATATTAGGAGTCAAATTTTATCTCCATGGAGGTTCTATTTGTGGTTTTTCAATCGGTTTTCATAATAACTGGGAAAACCAGGATGTGTCGGAAAAACGGAAAATGTACAAAATGTAGGTATTAGTAAAAAAATGTTATGGTATTTTTTTTTCTGTGTATAACTTTTCTATCAGCAATTTTGCTCCGAATTAGAATGATAGCACTTTTTCTGAATATAAATCTAACTGGAAAGGTACTCTAGGGAGGTCATTTTTCGATTTTTCCAAGAGTTTTCTTAGCAAATATGATAATCCGGAAAAAAACATGGGAAAACCGGGAAAAAGGCAGGAAAAACAGAAAAATCGATACAATAATAAACAAATATAATTAAAGAAATATATAATGCCTATTTAATTATTTTACCATAATATATCATAATATATTGTTTACAAAGTATCACTATCAACTGAACTGTGCTCAGAATCGTTTTTTCGTTAGCAATGGTTTATCGTTGCTTACAGATATACATTAAGTTACCTAAAACAGTGGCTGTACCCATCTCCATTATCCTTGGACGTCTTTTTTTCAATTTTCTTTGTAGTTTTTTTTTAAATAATTAAACAAATCCGAAAAAATGTAGAAAGAACGGAAAAATTGAATGGTGTTTGATTATTTTCAATTTTTTATTTTTAATGTAATTCAGTTTAAAATATTTATAAAGACTTACAATGTTGACAGAAAACTTATATTTACTTGTTCTGGACATAACGTGATAAAACTTTAAGAACATTTGAGCGATTTGTGAGATATTTATAGATATTTTGATTTTACGATTTTTTCCAATATTTTTTTGGAAGGTGCTCCGAAGATAAATTTGATTAGGTCTAATTTTAACAGTTATCCTTGAAAATTTGATAGGATCTTCATTATAAGTTGAAATAGGTGGCATAAAATTAAAATCAATAGATTAAGCACGCTGGAACAAAAAAAAAAAACTCTTTCGCTATGTGATTTAAAATATTGGTATCTCAAGTATAAACATATATATGTATGTATGCTGATACTTATACAAATTGGAAATCTGAAATACGTTGTTTTATATTATAAGTTCATTTTTAGACGATTAGGTATTAGGAATGGGCCCATTGAATAAATATTCAAGACTGTGAAAAATCTCGGAACTATTGTCCAATGATTATTGTCTACAATTTCAATTGTACTTATTCTTACTGGATTTATACCATATTTATAAATTCTGAGTCATAGTTGCTAAAAAAATGTAAAGAACATTCAATTTTCTATTTCCTAGGCTGGTGTAGAGCAGTAGCTTATAAACCAAATATTCAGAGCTGTAAAAAACCCCGAGGACAATAGTTAAGGATTTTTGTCGATATTTTAATATGTATTTACTTACATGAGATTTGCACTTTACTTACTTATTTTATGTCATAATTACTACAAATAAAGATACAAAGACATTAAAAATCAAATTGCCTGGCTGGTTTAGATCATCTAATTATCAAATAAATATAAGGGGGTTTGAAAATCTTAAACTATTGATCATAATTTTTTATCAATGTTTTCAAATGTAACCATTTTTATTGATCTTCGACCACATATTCTATCATTCAAGTACATATTCAATAACCTAGGATATTTAGACATACATTTTTCAGTTTCCTAGATTTGTTTTGAGCATCTGCATATCAATGAAACATGCAAAGATTCGGAAAATCTCGAAAAACTGTACAACATTTTAAATTTATTTCTTTTATTTTTCTAATTTAATCCATTTGGATTATTTTGTTTATTTTATAGTCAAATTTACTATAAAGTATCATTTAAAGACACTTTAATATCGAATTCCTATGCCGGTATTAAGAATATGTATATCAAAAAAAATCAAGTCTGTAATATATCTCGGTACTAAAAAACACATTAAACTAATGTTTAATGTGTTTTTTTTATATCATCTAATGTACAGATTTTCACAGGATTAAGATCTTATTTGAGAATACTGTGTCAAAGTAACTATAAAAAGAGCAAAAGAAAATTCAATTATCATTTACTGGGCTGTTAAGTCAGTGGCTTATAAAAAAACATATAGAGCTGTAAAAAACCCCGAGAACAATAGTTTCTAATTTTATCCATTTAGACCATTTATTTTATTTTATATTTAAATTTACTACAAAATATCCTATATAGACACTTAAGTTTTAAATTCCTATGCCGGGCATAAGAATTTCCTCATCGAAAAATGAATCAAGTCTGTGATAAATCTCGGTACTATTGTTTAATGTGTTTTGTCTATATCATTCAATGTAGAGTTTTTTACAGGAATCAGACCATATTTAAAAATATTTTGTCAAAGTAATATAAACAAGGCAGAAGAAAATTAAACTTTCGATTTCCTGGGCTGGTGTAGAGCAGTAGCTTACAAACTAAATATTCAGAGCTGTAAAAAAACCTGAGGACAATAGTTAAGGATTTTTGTCGATATTTTTATATGTATTCACTTTTATTGGATTTGTAATATACTTATTAATTTTTATGTCAAATTTATTATAAAAAAGTATATTTTAACATTCTATAATCAAATTGTCTGGCTGGTATGAGCATCTGCTTATCAAATAAATATAAGAGGGTGAGATAAATCTCATTCAAATATTTAATTTTCGATTTCCTCTGACGGATTTGAGTATCATAACATAAACATAATATTTAAAGGTGTTAAAACCACGTTGAATATTGTTAAAGTTTGCAAAGTTAATATTTGCAAAAGTTTAGAAAATCTCGAAATACTGTTCAAATTTTTTTATTTATATCTTTAATTTTTTCTTTTTTGTCAATTTAGACCATTTTTTTTATTTTATAGTAAAATTTACTACAATATATCTAATATAGAAACTTTAATTTCAAATTTCTGTGTCAGTATTAAGAATATGCTCATCGAAAATTACCTCAATCAAACCTAACCTAACCTCAAATCTTATCGACAGTCGGGAATTTAGTAATTTTTTATTACAGATGAAGTGTAGTAGAACAAATGACTCTAGCCCCGTATATCATAATATGCGTTATTTGAGCCATAAACGTATACAAATATAATCGGTTTAAATTATATTTCCCATATCAACTTTATATCATTAAAATTATACGCTGAGAAATATGCGATTAAAAATACATTCGAAAACATGGTTTGTTTGAGAGTGCGCATTACGCATTTTCTTTACACATTTTGTGATGAACGATTATTTCAAATATTTATTCATGCATTTCGTTTTCTTTTGCATCTGTACAAATATAATCAACTTGTCTGCTTAAAGTTATTCCCCAATCATTCGGTTCTTCAGGGGTGATCTTTATTATCAAGTTATGTCAAGTTTTATTGTAATTTCGTTTATAATAACCGTAGACATCTGACTCTTTCACCGAGTACTTATAAATTAGCTAAGCTATTTCTGTACGTAGTAAATTGAATTATTTACTATATAGATTAGACATTATCTATCTTAAAGTCCAATGGACAATATGAAATCGTTTTTTTATACATGATAAAAGGTCCTTGTATAGTGAGAAACACGAGAATAGATTTAAGAGAGCATACAAATTTTGAGGAAAGCCATTTTGCAATCTAACAAATCTTTATCAATTAGTATCAATATTAGTTAGAAATATTTTATAAAAAATAATAATAATAATTCTTAGTAATTTACTATGCTTAAATCATATTTTTGTTACGAAATACTATACTTTAATCTGTGTGTGGTATAAATTTAAAATGAAACGTATTGTTTGTTCACTGCGGTAAAAAAAAAGTTGTCCTAGGATAATGGAAACGGATGTAGCCACTGTTGTAGGTGGGAAGTTAGGAAGGCAAGATACAGAAGGGAATTTAATGTTTATCTGTAAGCAAAGATAATCCATTGCTAACAAAAAAATGATTCTGAGCGGAGTTCAGTTGGTAGTGATGCTTTGTCAACAATATATATGTCGTATTATGGTAAAATAATTAAATAGGCATAATAATATTTTTTAATAATATTGTTTTCATATTATACCAATTTTACTGTTTTTCTTCGGGTTTTCACATTTATTAAGAAAACTCCTGAAAAAATTGAAAAATTAACTCCTTAAAGTACTACCTAAGAAAATTTCCTTTCAGAAAGTGCATATATCGTATACATCGGAGTAAGCTTTCTGGTAGAAAAAGTGTTCACATAAAAAAAAAAAAATATATCTTTGTAATACTGATACATTTTTCTTTATACTCAGAATCTAAAATGCAATTTTCCAAGTTGTAAATTGTGATGCGCCCGAATATGATAAAAATCAACATAACATGAAACATTTGATCAACTTAATTTGTTGAATTTATTTTATCATCATCTTTAATCAACTTTAATATAAAGTATGTAGAATAGGTATCATGTTAATGATGCATTAGTAAATACTTAATTGAATCGATTATTTAAATGGTACACTTAAAGATTTAGGTTCGATTTTAAGCTAAAACGAAATAGCGACTGTCTCGTAAATCTATACGAATAATAATAACATAAAGTATTATTCTCGTAATCAAATTGTCACCCAGAGATGGTTTTCGAGATTATGTAGTATTTAGTGATTATCGAGACGACAGCGGCGTTGAAGAGCAAAAACACTGTTACCGTGGTAGCGATAGTGACGTGCCTCGACCACCATGGTATACCGTGGTTGAATGCATTCCGTCCCAAAACAAAGACGTTGAAAAACCCGTGGACACTGTTGGCGATACGAGGAGCACAATACCACATACCGAACGTGACGATCAACGCGTAAGCCGCGATCGCAGCCACGGGACCGCTTGCCGAGTGCAACGTTCGTTCGACGTATGGAACACGTTTGCGGTACGTAGCTAACCGGAACACCCGGAACAACGCCATGATCCCGACCAGGACGACGAGCGCAGTAATGTGCTCGTGTGCGCGACACATATCCGTCACGTTGGTCACAAACTCTGTTTCCTTAAACGCTGCGTACTGTTCGCCGGCCTGTTCCATCAGACGCCAACGGCCGGCCACAGTGAACGTCGTGCAAAGGACGATCGCAAGCATAACGCATTCGTAGGTGGTCCAAAAGCGGCTAACGTCGTAATTGTACACCATGAACAACACCGACCTCGTGAGTCGCATGGCCGTGATCGCAAACGCAATCATAAAACCCAAAGTAAACGCGTACGTGATCCACGAGACGAATATCGAATTCGAAGGTATCGAATAGACCTGCGCAATATTGGTTACGGATGTGATTAATGTCGTTAATTATTTTTAACATTTTTGATAAGTCAGGTGAGTAGACCGACTTCATTATGATAAAACAAATCATTTGTACATTTTAGCACGGCATGATTTCAAACTTAATAGAAGGAAATCACTTTAACGGGTTACCGGAAATAAAATTTATTTAACCTTAAATTTTATCTGTTTGCGTAATTATACAGACTTTATAAGTCTACACTCGATGGTTCAAAAAGTATTGATTTTTTTGATAATTTAAAAAACAAGCAGCTTTAAATTTCTACGTAGACACAATGTCATTCTTATTTTTGAATAAATCGAAATCCACTTTTGATTTTTAAATAATAACTTGTATTAAAAATTCCATAAATATGTTAAATATAAACTAATACTGTATTAATTTGAATACATTTTGAAGTTTAAATTTAAAATGTTGCATGTCACCCCATTACACAAATGAAATTCCCATGATATTTCGTCTACGGGTTGACGAAAATCAGAAACCTTAATTTCAAAAATTATTATTCAAATTTTTAATAGAAATTTCTATTTGAAAATTAGAAGCCGATTGTCATCTCAACCCAAAAAATAATATGAATTAAAAATTTTAGAGCAACTTGTATTCTTTTATTTTCAAAAACAAAACATTTTTTAAAAAATACAATAGGTATTTTTAAAAATCTCAAGTGAACATACTGAAATAGATCACTCTATAGGTTACTATTTTAAATTAAATAGTTTGGCAGTAATTTTACTCCAAAAGAAGGGTGAACAATATATGATAGCTATTGTAATAATGTAATTTTAAATATACGATTTCAAAAAGTTATTACATAGGTTATTTTTTAAAAAATTAATTATTTCACGGACAATTTGACTGCAACTATAATTTAGAACACCTTGCATAAATATAATCCGTAAATTATACATACCACATTATTCACTGTGAATAATAATCCGGATGTGGTTTGGAATTGTATTTTGAATACTGTAATGCAATCTATATTGGGTGTGTATGTTTGAAATTCTACAACTAAATTTCTCGTTCGGTTATCCAACCATCCATTTTCTAGGTGAGTGTTTAGTTTTTTTCTATACTCAGACAATTCTCCTGTTAGGTCTAACATAAATCCTGAGTTGTGTGCTTCGGGAAACCCTACATTATTAAATTAATTTTATTGAAATTCAGTATTCACAATGTTAATTTTACGTAAGTAAAATTTATACATAATAATGCACGTGTAATACTTACAGAGGCCAAAATATTTTATAACGGGTATCGATCTATACATCCAAGCCGTTATATTGTTCATTTTACTAATTTCCTTCCAACCTTCTTTGTAATTGCCTACATCAATTTTCAAGGTATTTACAGTTGTGATACGGTTTTGTAAAAGTCTGATACCTCCGTTTATCAGTTTGCTGTTGTAAAGATTATACCAACCTCTTCTGTTGTCTTCAATAGTAAAATTATTTTGGTTATTAAACAATTAATCTCAGTTTAAAATATCTGAAGAGAAATTGATATTTGCATTTATTGTCTTAGTCTAACTTACAGCTATGCGACATAGCGAAATTAAGTGACTTAAACATTATTTTTTTAATTGTGGATTGAAAATTGAAATCTATACAAATGTCATTTTCTAAATTATATCTAATTAAATTTACAACCACGATAGTTTATGTTTTTTAAATACTTAACCGTAATGGTTTTATTTAAAATTATTTTTAAAAAAATTTACACCAAAGCCTCGAAAATATTCTTCCGTTTAAATTGCGTAAAATATAATTTCAACCTAAATTCCTCAATTAAAATTAAAATGGATATTTTTTCTACAGACTGAAACAGTTGTAAATGGTAAAAGGTGTATATCACCTTCTATTAAATTTAAATAAAACTGAATAAATATCTTTACTCTCATTGAAGTTCGCCTTTGATATGTTGGCTATAGGTATTCCGTTGTAATATTCCTGCATTTGTAACGGACCTGTTAGTGATGTAGTTAAAAATGTCTTTAACCTGAAATTAATTTCTAATCAAAATAAACTCTAACCAAAGTGCAGTGCCAGGAAATTTAAATTTAAAAAGTGATTTCGCTTTGTTCCCGCTTTTCATTCTACTGTTAAAAAGGAACTCGTTGCTTTAAGGTTTCCTTTGGTTTATATTTTAAATCTTACTACCACCAATCATTGACATTGATCCAATAAACCCCATAACCGTTCCAATAAAACAATTTTTTTGCTGCATTTATGTATAAACAACTTAAAAATAAAGAACTAAGATTGCGTTCACGTTCCTCATAAGTAGAAATTAATTCCTAACACTGCTCAAGCGTAAATTTGTATACAGATTATAATGCGAATTACATTTCCAAATCCATTGTATTACTTTGTACTATATTCTTAAGAAATAATTTGTTGATATTGTTTGCATATATAATGTGCATTGGACTGTCAAATGAATATAACGCACCGATACAACAAAACGATATTAAAAATGTTAATAGACAAGTAGTTGAATGATTTCTGAAATGTTTGATCCACGTCTGATTATTTTGCTTATTACGCAAAACCTATTAAAAATATTCATACATGAATATGAATTCAAGATTTTTAATTAAAAAGGTAGGTGAATGTATAAAATATTTCATGGGCTCATTTATTTTATTAAAAATCAATCAAACATAATAATTTATTGTCTAGTAATTTATAAAAATCAGTTATTATATAATTACCTCGACATCTGCTTGAGAAAATGGATTATATACATATTTGTTTCTACTTTCACGGATACTTCGAACTAATCGTACATTTCGTAACTGATTTCTGGTATTCTTGCGGTAATTAGCTAATTTTATTTGATATCCGGTTATGATATTTTGTTGCTGAAAATAAGTAGATCGTTTATGTTAATGCAAATTAATCCATCTTTATTAATTAATCACCGTTTTTAATTACTTGATTGAACTTATACAAAACACAGCTAGATATTATTATAAGTAAAGGTTCTACAAAAAGTGCGTCTTGTATCAATGATATTATTATACTCATTAGCCAATGTGAACTCTTCACTTGTCCTATTTTTAATCCATGGCTTATGATTAAGACACAAGATATCACGTAAACGAGAACGCACAGTGTCCTGTGATTAAAAATATATTTCTTCATTAACCAAAACATTCAAATATATATATAGATATTGGCATTTTTATAATACAGTATTTACCATCCAGTTATAAGCCAATAATTAATTTTTGTGTTTTTAATAAATTTCACTTCCGTCTGAGCAGGTAAATATGATTTTTTTTTCACAAGCATAAATAACAGCTTCCTCCACAATGTTTCTAACATTAATTATAATTGTTTGATTACGGTGGGCTGATTTCTATTATAATTTCTTATAACTATAAGTTATACGTTAACTATATAATATAGAATATTATATACTATATTAAAAAAATTAAAAACTTTGAATATCATGTTATGCTAAACAATGTTTAGATATAGAAACGACCTATCACATAGATAATCATAGGAAAACATTCAACTTTTGGTTTTAATCAATGATATACCGATATTAATTTATAAATTATACTCAGAATGCATATTATATTTAATAAATTAAAAAATTAAAATTAAATACAATTCAATAATTAATTAGTTAGTTGAAATCGTGCAAACATTTTTAATTTTAAATTAAAAGAGAATTAGTATACCCCCACGGTGCCTCTACGTGTTGTAAGAGGCGACAAATTTTACCAGGTTGCGTCAGGTCGACCGCTGGTGTAAAATTCTGTCAAAGAGTATAAAGAGTTTTAAATTGATGGATTGTCTCATCTTGTATGTGCGTGGGGACAACGAGTGAGAGAAAGTACTATAGTGCACAATGTTTGAATATGATATAATTGAAGAAAACCTGGAATAAGTTAACAATAGGGTTAAGGTTACTACAGTAATAGTAGTACTACTTGAGGGAAAGAAATTAATGATTAATAGAAGAAAAATAAAGTATAAGTTTGTATAGTAAAAATAAAGCAAAACAGCTAACAATAATAAACGGTGGTGTAATAGACGAAGTTGAGAGTTTTAAGTACCTAGGATCTTTTACACAAAAATTGGTGGCTTTAATGAGGATGTGAAATATATAATTAAATGTGGTTGGATAAAGTTGAGAGAAGGGTCTGATGTATTTTGTGATAATAGAATTCTAATGAGACTTTAATTTAAGTTCTACAAAAGTGTGGTGAGATTAACCATATTATATGATTCATAGTGTTGTGAACGAGTGTAGCAGAAATGAAAATACTTGGGTAGATGAGTTTACGAAAGATTTTATGATAAGGAATGAGTACATGAGAGGTAGCTTGAGCTTCGACAGAAGACAAAATAAAAGAAAATAAACTGAGTTCGTTCGGGCATGTCATTGGAAGTGAAGAATATTAAATAATAATAATTTTAATAAACATAAACGTAGAAGAAAGATCGAATAGAGATGGTTAGATGCGATTGAAAATAATATGTGTAGGTCATTGGTGTATTTGAGGTGGGAGAATGGGCCAAGTGAAAGTTCAAGACAAAGGCGGCCGATCCCAAATAGTTTTAATTAATGCGATTGAAAGAAGATGCAATATTAAGAATTATACGTAAGTATGTTGTAGTATAAAAACAAAATTATGACTATTTTTTTTTCAATAAATTTAAGCAAACTAATCAATAGCATAAGTACTTTTTATCTCATCATCATTATTTTCTTCTCTTCCTTGATCTTCGACATATGTTTGATAATTTTGACTTTTACTGAAAAAAAAAAATAAAATAGAATTGGAATATTAAATTTAAAAATTTGATATATCTTACTATTATATAAAGGTTTATTTAAAGGTCATTAAAATTATTGATAATTATTGATTTTGTTAAAACTTCTTTAGTCCACTTCTTTATGAAGTGGTTAAGTCATTTTAGTGATATTTTTAAGAGAAAATGAACATCAGATAAGATTTTTAACATTTTTGCAAGTAAATGTGACATTATTTATGACCAGAAGAGAGTTAGGAAGTTCGGGTAAAATGGGTAGTACAAGACTGAGGGGATGGTTAGCTGAGAAGAAGTTAATTCCAGGCTAGATGTTTATATTTACGAGTATTTTATTTGTCATGGACTGCTATTTAGTTCAAAAGTTAAGTTTATTAATCAATAACTAATCTATCTTAATTGTATTAACTTGGCTTTTATCTTTTTAACTCATTTATGTCCAGGCTCGGTAGGAACTAATATTCAGTGCCTACATAGTCATAATTAAATTGGACAGCAGAATGGAGGAGCTGGTGGCGACGCTGTGCTTCTGGCAGGGGTGCTTTAACAAGAGCAAAGGCGCGGTTTGGACCAGACGGCTGATCCCCGATATCCAGAGATTGACCAGTAGGGGTACGTCGCTGGTAACGATCCATTTGACTCTGACCATGACCGGTCATGGATGTTTCGGTCTTCGCCTTCACTGAAGCGACTACTTAGTTTCACATGCGTGTACTGCCAGGGCGTGCAAACAACACCGTAGGGCACACGGTGTTCCTTCCTCAGAAGTCAAAACCCTCGGCCAGAGGACACCCTGAATTTGTTATGTGGCCTTAAAGTGTTACAAAACGATCTAGCTCCGCGTCAGACGGTTGGATGCGTCAAGCCGCGGTCTGGAGGCGTTAATAGCCATAGTCAAGTCAATAATGGCGAAGTGGACAAGAGGAAAAGCAAGCCTCAAATCAGGGGACTAAGCATCAGTGTCTTAACCCCCTTTAGAAGGATACGCCGAGTCGAGGGAGAATTGCTAATGAGCCTCACTCTAGTTCGGCGCAGTTCATAAGAAGGACAATAAAAATAAGTTATAATTAAATTAAAGTATCTGTTATTAAAAATGAGTGCACTTTAATATTATAAATATGCAATTACATAAGCTTTTCTATTTTACATAAAATATAAATATAGTTACTTAAAACAATATGAAATGCCAAACGTCATTAGTATTTGTATTATACTGCTTTGTATAGAAATTAAGACTTGTTTAAGTGTGATTTCAAATATTAAAAATTGTTCCTCATCCGCTGTATATTATAATTAAAAGTGATACTATTAATAAAATAAAGTATATATATTTAATTATTTTGAATTTTAATTATTACTTTCCTGAACTTCATAAAATATTAGACTTATTAACATTATACTGAGTAATAGGCACATTATTTTGCTTAATCGTTGACTCCTTGTTGTTAAAGATCTTGGATGTCTAAACAAAATGTTTTGTTATAAAAAAAAGTAGAAATATGTAGTTAGGTAGTTATTCGAGCTTTATATTTTAAATAATATTATTATAGGGTTATTAATTATAATGTTATTTGAAATATATTTTAGGTTTTGGTAATTAACACCAAATTTTCAAAAATTCAGAACTTTTGTAGTCAACATCTATTAATTTCCCCGTATTTTTAAATTTCCTAAACAGATTACCATACTTCTATTATTTTTATAAATAAACATATTGAATTAGCTTATCGTCCTGTTGTTTTGGTAATCCGTTTTTAAGATAAAAGCAGATCATTATCAATTTTACATCAAGTCAAGTTTTGTAATTTTGAAATTTTTACCGTATGACTTATTTGTATCACGTGAGCATGTAGTACATTTTTACAATTTTTGTCTACTTAAATTTTTCTTTTAGGAAAGATGAAGTCTTTCTACTAGTTGATAAATTTTTATTTTTGTTTATGTAACCAAAAGCCATAAAAAAATTTTTTAAACAGTTTTGAAAAATTATCATACCTTAAACATCTAAATTATAGTGTTTAGAAATATGAATCCCTATAATAATATTAATAAGTTTTAATCAAACCTAATTAAGTAAATTTAAAAATATATATCCTATTAAAAATAGTATTGTTATTTTGAACTTTTTAAAAAAAGTCAAATTAACTTAATGTAGGTACAAAGAAAAGCAAGAAATAAAAAAATTAAATACCTGTTGAACAAATGACTAAATGAGTACCTATCATTATTATTATTCAAAATACCATATACTACTAATTATTACTTTTGTTAAGAAAAGTTATACTTTAGTTTTTAATGTATTTTATATTTGATATTGTTTACCGAAAAAACACACTGGCCCATTGATAATCTTCACGTAAAGTTAATTCTACATCATCTGTAACTTGTCTTTTCCGATCATGAGGAATTCCTACAGAAATAGACTGTTCAATTTGATTAATTATTGGTGAAAGTGAAAACCATTGTTCCACGTTGAAATTCCATTTTCTTTTTCCACGCACATCGGTAACTTCAATATATTTACAATACCAATCGGGTTCACTTCCATAATTATCATACCAAATACGAATATACTGTAATTCGCCTAAACTTTTTGGCGCAAAAATAATAAACCAATCATCATTGAAACGTTGTAAAACATCACTGTCATGATTATACAACCAATGAGCCTATGAAAGGAATAATAGGTATATTTCTACATATAAACACACGGTGTAAATGCCACGCATTAATAACTAGGACACGAAATTATATGCACTAAAAACGTACGAAATATGCATGTATTTATACACTGATTATTATTAAAATATGCAAACAAAAATGCATGCTAATTAAATTTATTTAGTTTAAAAATGTATATAATTGAAATGAAACAAAAAAATGTATTAAATATCTAGTACAAACAATTTAATTGCAACATTTGTTGCATTTGTATTTTGACAGTTGTATTTTGAAACATTTTGAAAATATGATTCACGAAAATCTACTAAATATACTGATTACAACAATTAGTCCTAATCGAATTATCTTTATCTAGAAGCGATTAGATAATTTAAGAAATCAAATTTCTTGCAAACCATAGGTATTTGTGAGTAAAACCAATGAACAATAGAAAAATAAATGTGTATGATACACTAGGTATTCGACTACAGTATAATGCAAAATCGTATAATACAGAAATGTGCAGTACACATTAAAAAATAACAATTTTTTATTTCGGAACTGGTAGCTTATACAATTACTTTTTGGACTGTTAAAAGAACATGCAAATGCATATAAATCCGGGCCCTATTAATAACTTACTCGACTTGTGCCCTTAGCTCCATACAATTGTATGCAGACGTTAGCCGTAGTGCCAGCTTCAAGACTGTTTCCTGTATACACCGTTATTAAGTATACTTCGTCTTCTCCAGGATAATTATCGTGAAGAATTATGATTTCACCCTGTAATGTAATGTTCATAAATTTTATTCACCATAAACACCTATAAACTACCTATATAAATGGTTGATACAATTATTATAGTGATTACCCTTGACACGTCTTTCTTGTCCTGATGTATACACCAAACGAGTAATATTAAATAAATTATGAACACCACAGCTACTAATATAAGGCAGACCATATTATTGGCAATGGATTCATAATGAAATACTTCTTCAACGGGGTCTGTTATATTAGGTAAAGTCAATATTAAACCACCGAACAACGACACGTGATTAGTTTCACAGTAAATATTATCTTTTGTAGTTTTTGAACCAACCTACAATAATGCCATTTTAAAAGTATACCTTTTTATATGGCGATAGTTGTATATGCATTAACTTAATATTCGAAATGACTTACAAACATTTTTTTTGTTGTCCATTTCTTTCCGTTCCAATATACGCATTGTGGACTAAACATATCCATTGAAAAATGAATATTAGACATATGAATTTGTGTAGTATTTTTTTGATCCTAAAATAAATTAAATTAACTTTCAAATAATTAAATGTTTTGTTCTTTACTTCCCATAGTTTATAATCACAAATTAATATTATACAGGCTACTGAATGAGATCTTACCAGTTGAAGACAAATTTTTCCAAAATCCAGAGTACTTTGTTACCTTAATGGCGTTTAATAAACTAATGGTACCATTTGGCAAGAATTAAAGAAAAATGAATAGTTATATTAGTTATATATTAGTTATATAGTCAGTAGATGTGTTTTTAGAAACTGATGATTTACCTTACATAATGAGTTGATCATTTAAGCATTGTAATTATTTAGTGCCATGAAAACTGGAAATTAGAAACTTTCGATTTGTCAAAATACAGATACAGGCTCTTGTTCGGTATTCTGTATATCTTAATTTGTGGTTATAATATTTCTTATCTTTAATTAAATCGTCCTAAGAATGACAAAGCAATATCGTATCGTATATGAGGAGGTTTCCCTGATTATCACCCGGATGCCGTAAGAATATTTCACGGCATTTTAAAGGGTGAGAACCCGTGAGAACGCTGCCAACAAAGGACGGGACCGTTCCTATATCAACAACCATGTAGAAGGTGGCGGTGAGACTGCGTTCCTGGCAAGAGCGGCGAAGTGGTGTAGATCAGATGGTTGATTTTTTAACACAGGGAGATGGGCATGCCTAGGAGAGTGAACCAGACCCGGGGAAGTAATGCTAACGCGATCCCACCTAGCTCGGTGGTGTCTACAAAAAAAAATTCACAACAATAAATGTTTGATTATTCATCTTACATAGGTTATAATAACACTAGATACCTGCTAGATTACCTATCTATTATATCTTTAAGATAGCAAATACTTAAAATTATACAAATGCAATAGATTTATACCTAATTAGTAATTAGTAATTAGTAAATACTAATCAATGTTATTAATAATTTTTTTGAAAATCGGTTTTAGATTACTAACGAATTATGATAAAGAAAATACGACTTGTATGTAGGGAAATCATTTTTAGATACTTTTGGAATATTATGCTGTCTTGTTATAATCAACAATTTTACCGACATATTTGTATATTTATAATTTCGTATAATCATATATTCTTATGTAGTATGTACAATTGACTATTGCACTATAATATGCAATGTATATAATAAGTACATTGTTGTTGAAATTATACGAAAGTATATGTTTATTAGATTATGCTATGAAGACTCAGATTAAAATTTTACCATATTAGCTGATATACCAATGTAATGTATATTATTTTGACGCTCACTGAATGTTTTTAATGTAAACTCATATTTTTCACCAGCCATAATATTTATTGTGTATGTTTCATTATTCATTATTCCGATATCTGGCCTTTTATCATATAACCATGTAAACTATAAATATAGGAAACTAGACAATTCAATATGAATTTTTGTTAAAACATAATATTGTTTGTATAATGAAATAAAAACATACACGTAAATCATGAGTTGAATCACTTAATGTAACAAATAAATGTTGAATATTTATCATATCTATTCTATACACCAATAATGTTTTATCAAATTCGAGATTACTACAATTTTTCGATGGAACCCAAATTGTATATTCCTTAGGTTTTCTCATGTTAGTTTTGTTCATTTTAAAGTTTAAATGTATAGGCTTTTCAAATGAATGGTACTCAATCAATTCTCTTGGATTATTCTGGTTAAAACGTAATACGTCAAATGACACAATTTGAAAATTTATGTTGGAATCTTCAAATATGTCAAATGATTGTATTAAATCATTCTCAACATTGAACATCTAAACTTTTAAATTTGAAGTTTAAATGTTTGAAAATGGTTATGTGTTTAAAAAAAAAAAAACATACTATTATTCCCCATTCCTTTCCCTGTATTACAAGTTCATTCCCTAATTCTCTATCAATAGTATTATACAGAAATTCATTAGATTTAGTATGAAATGTTCTGTTCTTTAACCATTCACTTGACAAAATCTGTAAACAAAGATTTTCTATTATTGGTTATATTTTATATAATATAGGGTCAGCATGACATAAGACACTTACTATCTCGAGAATTATTAAAGTTTTTCTGATTTTATTTTCATATCTATTTTTTAGAAAATTAAATTTTTTCGTCACTCTTATTTTAGGGTGTGAAACCACTACCTAATTTTGATTTTCAAATTGAAAATCCTATAAATAAGTGAAGTATTAGATAAAATCAATTTTAACGTTGAAATGTTTAATTTTTAGAAACTATTAACGTTGATTGAATATTCTATTTTTCAATTTGGACGGAGGAGGAGTGGTGCATTATTTGTGTAGCAGTACGACGTGCATTGTTTTAATGGTATACTACTACTCTGCCCTTATCCAAACTTAAAATTCTTAAATAGGCTGCTCAACATCAAAAATGTTAATACCAAAATTTATTTACAATAATACTTCACCTATTTATTTATTTTTAGTAAAGGTTTTTATTTGGAAATCAATCGTAGGTAGTGGTTCTATTCTTTAAAAAATGGCAAAAAAACTGTAATGTAACACTTTATAACTATTTATTTTTTAAATGTTTTAAAAAACAAAATCAAAAAAAAAAAATTAATATTTTCTGAGATAATGAATGTCTTGTGTTACGTTTATTGCCCTGCATTTGATTTGATTACTAGCATACACATGCGTTGACATCTTTAATCTCTTTTACGCAAATAATTAATCTTTCATAATATGGTGCCAATTCGAGAATAATCGATTTTCCAAACATTTTTAGAAGGTTATCGGTGCTTTCAGTTATAATGTTCATCTATATATTAACAAGTAATAAATATTTATTTAAAAAAGTAAAAACAAAAATAAATTAAAGATATAAAGAACCTATACATTATCCATTGATGACCAAAAAAACCGTTCTGAAGGATCATTCGGTTTTGTTATGTTAAACTGATTACTTTTAAAAATAGCTAAATTTGTTTTTAGTCCTCTACAATTATTTAAATAAATACAATATTAAAAATCTCTTATTTTTTTATTCTTCTATGAGGTTTACTCTTTTATTTGTTCCACATTGTCAACTTCAATTATCTTATCAGTCTCATTCGATGTTTTAATATATACATATAAAAAATCAGAAACCCTGAGCAGTTCTTTTGACATTTTTGAAATTGTATTTATTTCCATTTTACCATTAGCAACTTCATTATAATCTTTCATAACCTTCTGAAGTATTGATATAAATTGAACACTACAGAAAATACAATTCTTAATTGGTATCTGTAAATAAATTATAATTATATTATTAGCTACATAGTTTGTATTAATTATTTCAAAAAACAAGACATGCTTCATACTTAAATTATTAATTTTTCATACCTGAGCCAATATGTTAAACAACTTATTAAATTTATTAATATGATTTTCACGAAGTAGATCACTCAAAATGGCTATAATTGACACGGTTCCTTAAATTAATCAAACAATAAAGATTATAGTTATTATCAAAACTTACCGACCTGATTATATAGTAATTGAATGCAAAAATTAATACCTACTTGAAATATCTTTATTCATTGAGTTAGTTTTTAATTCTTTGAATAAGTTTTTCATTGAATGAGAATTGCATTTTTTCACCTGTAATTATGCAAGAGAGTTACGTTTTACACTATTCTAGTAAAATAAAATAAAAAAATGTATATTACAGTATTTGTTATAATTAGAGATAAAATTATTATTTACGTCCACAGTTAAGTTCACTTGTGTAGATGCTCCAAATTTATTTATAACTTTTACCGTTAAATATTTGGACGAGGTTAATTTTAAATTTGTCATTGTTCTATTACCTCGAATTAATAAAACTCCTTAAATTGATAATTAAATTATAATAATTTGAATCTACATAATATTCATTTGATTTACAATGCTTGTAAAATTTATTACTTACCCAAGGAGGTTTCGTCATATTTATTTTTTTGATAATATTCAAAAGTATTTTCCGTATTATTTTCATTAGTGAAATTCATACAGGATATAGTAAACAATGTTTTACCCGCTAAACCAGAATCTGGTGATATTGTACAAATATCGACTTTTGGTTTTGAAATAGTCGTTATGTAGATTTCATTTTTCAATCCACATTTTAAACCTAATAAATAATAGTTAGTTTTACCAAATTATATTATTTATAAACATAAATTAGGAAGCATCCGGAAAGTTTAGTAATAAAAAATAAAATACAAATAATTCAAACATACATTCAACAAAAAACCTATACTTTGTTCCGTATCGTAACATGTTTTTGTTTACAATGAGCATACGATTCGGTACGTCTGTCAGTGCAATAGTGTCAGTTGAACTTCGAGTTTCTGTAGTATTATTTATCTCTTGATAATACCAATTTAATGATTCATTGCTAATAAAATTCTTCTTTGCTTCCAGATGTATAATACTCGATGGATTTGACAACGGTACACAGTTTTCAAAGCATCTATATATAAGATAATATGCAGTTGTGTAGGAATTCAAATAAACATTTTTTGATAGATTTTTTTAAATTTAAATATTACTGTGGATAATTTAAAAAAAATAATATATTCTAATATATACTCTGAATGTTTTTTTTTTGTATATATATTTGAATACTTTTTTTGGAAAACTCCCCCTGATCATAAATTATAACTGAAAAAATTGGTACTACTTTCATAAAAAAAAAAAATTATGCTATTATTTAAATATGTTGTTATTTGATTTAATTTTTGTTATCAATGTGTTTTTAAAATGATTCTATGTTAATTATGTAGGTAATAAGTACCTGACTAATTTTATTAAAAATTGCTTAATGCATTATTGTTACTAGTCTCGAGAACTAAGAGCGTGGTCGTGCTTAGCGGATCAAGAAAGAGACTGAGATGTAATAGAGAACAACACTATAACTCGGGTATAGGCAATTAAAACACGCCCATCTTGATTATTCCTCAATCAGGTGTTCGGGTTACTGGCGAGCGTTATTATACTGAAAATTCTGTCTTGTTATGTATAAGTTTATGGTTTATCCATTACTATTAGGTATACTGCGGTTTAATAGAGTTTTATTATAATTATAAATAACGATACATAGAATGGTGGTAGGTAATTACTCGATAATTAGTTCTTTTCCTATGTTCGATGCTGTATACACACTTATTTTTGCGATTCCTTCTGTGGGTTTTCCAATAGATTGTGTATAATTTTCACTAACACTCAGCGTTAATGTAAAATTATATTCATATGATTTTTCCAGTTTTTTTCCCAGAGTTTGTTTTGACGCTACAATATAAACATAACGTATTATTGTAATTTTGATTAAAACAATTAAACAGGAATACATGGTATTTAAAGCTATAACATATTAATAAATGTTTAATTTTATGACATATTGTATGACCCGCGACCTGTATAATTTTGCTATTTTGCGATTCAAAGAATAATGCATGTGTGCATCTTAAAATTATTTCATTTAATTATAATTCTATTCAACAGATGTGCTGAAAAGATGAGTTAACTAAATATAAAAATAAATAAACGTAGAATTTAGTAATTTTACTATGCACGGGTGCCCTGATTGTATTTTATAACTCATCATATGTTATATAATTTTCTAGTACTTAATATTTACTTGATTTTGTTGTTTTTTTACAAATTTCATCTTCAACAATATTACATTCCCAGGTAAATAATAAATCTTTTTTAGTGTTCTTTTCATTGGGATTGTATGACTCGGAAGCATCCAATGTTAAAAATGTATCTCCTATATATAAGGGAGATGGTCCTGTAATCTTCGCAACTAATCCATCTAATAGGGTTTCTATGCAACGCTAATATTACACTTTTATTTATTTTCTTATTTTACAAATTTAAAAATGAGATACGAAAAATGTATTTACAAAGTATAGATTAGATATTTTTTTTCCGTTTTTAATATTGTGTGTTGTTATATTGAGATACATGATATGGATTCCCATTGGCAACTTGTATTTATCGATAACTAGGTCAGCATCCCCGTGCATCACCGAGTCGTCTAAATATGAAAGTCCCTCTTCATCTTTATAAAATATATTAAGAAATATTCTATTAAGGAAATTAACACAGAAATTAAAATATATAACCGATGATTTAATTTACTATGGTAGCTAAGAATGCGTTTGTTAGCATTAAATATTTTCCAATAGGCTGTTTCACTTCTTTGAGCATTACATAAATTTGGACTATCATTTTCTACTTGTATATCAAGCGTCCAGTTTTCTTTTCTCTTTAATGGTATTATATTTTTTATGATTTGTTCATTGGTCATTATTGCTTTACTAGTTCTTTAGTTTAATTAATTTATCATATTGTGAAAAATTATACAATTATAATTTAATATTGTACAATAAACAGTGGTGTATTGTAGGGTATACGCACGGGTATATGACGTATACCCTGATCCCTATAAGCAAAATCGTTGATTGTGGATGTACACTAACTTAAACATGTAGTTTAAATTTATACGCAAGCTTTTAATTTATTATTACTATAAATTCGTAAAAAATTAAATAATAATAATAAACAGTTATCTTATTAGAAAGAAAGAAAGCAGCCAAGAGATGGTCAATTTTAAAATGTAGACTTTCATAACGCACATCCTGTTAAACCTAATACTGTCAGGTTACGATTTAATTTCAAACTAAGTCTATACGTTTACACAGCTTTGCCTACACATAAACATTTGTCGGGGGTTTACCTAACCCCTTTAAGGTGCGTATACCTATACATTTATTTACAAATACACCAGGGATAATAAATAATACAACATTTAAATTTAATTATTAACAAACAATAAACAATATTATTTATGATCTTTTTTTTTTTTGTTATTCGTTGACTAAGTATTTTATTTATGTAAATGGGTAATTAAGTGTTTTATGAATAAAATAACATTTACCTTAAGTGTTTAAAATATATTATTTATACTATTTTAATTTAATATTTTTGATAAAAACTTACTGGCTTATAGCATTATTATCAAAATCAATATTAGTTATACATAGTGAGGTATCATCTATGACTGCCATGAATTGAATAAAATCTATTTTATAGTCAATTTTTTTTTCGACTGTAGAATATAATTGAAGTTCTAAGATATATTTAGTTCCCATTTTTTTCGTATTGTTTGAGTCAAAGAATATGTCTATTTTGTTACGCAATGTTTTTGTGTTGAAATAGGGACCAATTAGTGCAAATTCGACTTCCTTATCATGTTCTGTAAATGTCATAGTTAAAAAAGAAAGGTAAGATTATGGGGACGGGCGTAGTCACTAATGTAGGTGGGAAGTTGGGAAGGTAGGATATAGACGGGAATTTAATATATATTCGTAAGAAACGATAAACTATTGTTTACGAAAGAACGATTCTGAGTGGAGTTCAGTTGATAGTGATGCTTTGTCAACAATATATACGACATTTTGTAGTAAAAATAATAATTAGATAGGTTTTATATATTTTCTTTAATAAAATTGGTTTAATGTTGTACCAATTTTTCCAATTTTCCTATATTTTTCCCGGTTTTCTCAAGTTTTATTCCAGTTTTCACATTTGCAAAAAAACTATTGGAAAAATCAAAAATGACCTCTTTAAAGTCCCTCGAAAGTGAAATTTCCTTTTAGAAACATTGTTATTATTAAAAGTTGGACCAAAATTGCTGGTAGAAAAGTTGTGCACAGAAAAAAAAAATCGTAAATTTTCCCGTTTTTTGTTTTTGGTTTTTCGCATTTGATGAGATGTTACGTGCCCACACGCTACTATAAGTAAACGTGCGTGAATCTGTAATAATTATTATTCAAAAGGGGGACCACAACTAAAATCAGGAGCTAAGAATACAATTTCACGTTTTATATACAAAGGGCGCAGATAGGCATAAAGCAACGGTGCCAGCACTGGCGACAACGCATAGTTAAACGTATAATCAAAATAATATAAGTATACTATTTATACGGAAATGCACCATACATAAAATAAAGAGATAGCCGCGACACGACGGCGACAGTGATGGTGCCAGCGGGACGATAGCGTCAACAACCAAAAAGGGGGAAGCCGAAAACAATAGTAAAATTTACCCTTTCGAATTTGTAAAATTAGGCATAACAGCGCGTAAGGCCACAGTCGTAAAATGAAATAATAAACGCGCAAACCAACGAGCAATTCTTAGATTCCAGGAAATGCGGGGCTACTGCCGAAATAATGTAGATAGTCGTACTATGAAACGATGGATTGCGGGTCCTTCAGAGCATATATAACGCCGCAAGAAACATTGCCGATTCAGACGAGTCCACCACGATCAAATACAAGCTACTTGGTGTCACTCTGTTTTACGAAATATTTTTGGACTTGTAATATTTTTGTGAATTTATTGACTTGTAGTTTTTTGTGTGGAAAATATTAGTTATTTATAAACTTAAGTTGGAGTTTGTTTTATTTCAAACATATTTTCTCTAAGTCCTATTCCTACGTTGGGCCCGTTACAGAGAAAACTTTTGAGAAATTCGAAAAATTACGTTTTTAAAGTACCTGCTTATGCGAATTTACTTTCAGAAAAGATGCTACACATAGAAATCTGAGATAGCCTTCTGGTAAAAATTTGTGCACAGATAAAAAAAAAAGAATCTTTATCAAACCATCTTCTCTCCACTCAAAATCTAACATTAAAATGCTTCATATAAGTAGTTATTAACGAACTACGAAGATATTAAAGAAGTAAACAGGTACATAATATTATTTATTGCAATTTGTATGAAATTCGAATATTGTAACATTTGTGTTACCGTATATATTTCGAATAAAATTGCACATATCTTGACAGTTGTCGTTATCAGGATCAATGCACTTATTTACAATAAATTCCTTTGAGTTTAATTTTTCGGAACACAGTTTTATAACATCAGGTTTTTTATGTTTTTGCTTGAATTCGTCTAATGGATAGTGGAAATGTTGTACTGCACCTTTAATAATTACATCATATTTTTTATCTCCAAATGATTCCGAAACAAGTAATAAATACAATTCTTCTCCAATTGTTGATTTTATTCGATAATATATTGAAGGGCTTCTTATGTGTTTAAATTTTTCATCTTGAAATAATAAAGACTTTTAGTGTATAATTATTATACTTACTATCATTGGATTTTATTATCACAAAATTGTGTCCTAATTTTTCAACTAATTAGTCGAGCATAATAATATAATATTATAGTTATATTATACCATTATAACTTCTCATTGAATAAATGATTCAAGTTTTAAAAAAGATTATATAATATTATTATACTATAGGTAGGCACTAGGCACCTATCTAAAATACTCATACAAAGTACGTATCTGAAATAGTAGATACTTTTGTATACAGGTAAGTTTTAATTAAATAAGAAATCACCATTGGAAGGAAGGATTTCATGGTTAATAAACATCAATTATACGGGAAAAAGAGAATGCAACAGAAATAACCCATTTAATTTATAATTAGTAAACATACCTTTTTTAATACGTTTTTCACAGTTAATGCCATAAAACATTTCTTTGCATTTACAAATATGGTGTCCTATACCAGATTTGCACGTTCCGTTGTTTTTACATGGGTTTTTTAGACACTTATTTTCATAAACACCACAGTATTTTCCCTTCATTAGATTTTCAGAAAAATGGCAAACGCATTTTTCATTAGCGGTGTCAAGACTATTGCAACCGCCGTCGTGGCATTTATTTAATCCTTTGCTATCGGATTCACAAAAATAATCACAAACTGAAAGTCGTATTAAACCGAACAAGCAAAATATCAAGATAATACTGTACATTTTACACAATTCAAAACATAATATAGTACGCTGTTAAACAGAATATAATACATAAACTATACATTCTCGGTGATGTATAAATATTTCATTCTTTCTATATACTAATAATATTGCATTCTTCAGTTATTGTAAATGTACATGTGTAATATATTTTGCATATACGTGGATACCAAAACTGTTATAATTGTAAACGAAAAATTGTCAAGGAACACTTACTATAGTAATAATTTAAACTCTAAATGAATTATTAGGAAAAAAAATTACTGGCTACATAACTCTGAATTAATTGTTTTTGTTGAATATGGGTATTGTATTTAAGTAGCTATTAGGTAGATATTATTTATATTGAAAAAATATGAATAAAATATATTATACATAATTGCGCGTAGACTAGCTGTTTATATACAGAATGATTACACTTCGGTATCGACACTCGTTATCTCGGAAAGTATTTATTATTTTCAGAATTATTTTTATTTTCTGAAAACTTATGGAACAGTTACTTCTAAAATATTACATTACCTAATATTTTTTGTTATTCAAATTCTATACGTCATGCTGCCACTTAAATGATGTTCCACTAATTTTTCTCTCCAAATTCAAACCTAAAAGGGTGAAATATCTCGTCACGAAGTTTGACGGAAATTTAAAATTTAAAAAAAAACCAAAATGTATTTTAATTAAAACTCCACTCATTTTAAAATAAGTTGCAATTTAAAAATCAATTGTTGATAATGAATTTTCTTCTCTAAAATAAGGGTGAAAATAAAGTAATGTTACATTTTAGAGCTATGTTCTATATTTTTTTAAAAAAAAATACCGAGATAATGAGTTTCGAATATTGGTTATCACAGGTTATTGACATTTATCATGCGATTGGTGATTTAAGATAGTCTATAGACACCAAATTTGGACAATTTAATTTTTATCTATATATTCTTATGCATTTTCAAGTAAAATTGAATTTGATGGATGATTTTGTTCATATGAAGTTTATGAGAGGTGTTAAAATAAAAATATATATAATATTAGATATTTTTTAAAAAAGAAATACACTCACACATACAAATATGTCAATAATTATATGTTTTTGTCCATGTCGTTAGTTGCAATTTGTCAGATTCGGATATTCAATTGAACAATCCCTAAATGGTATTGGTCGTTTTTAAAATACATAACATTGATTTAGACTTTAACATGGTCCTCGAGCGCCGTTTCGTTCTCTCAACCACAGCATTAAAGAAAATCCAGCGGATTTAGCGATTTCTAATCAAACCCTGGGTTTTGTTCAGTTGGCAGGAAAATCGCGTGGCACTGAGAGAATCGGGTTCGATTTCCTGTTCGACCAACTGACTTTCAATACTATTTTTTGAATGCGGCAACTTTTCAAAGATAATATCATACAATTTGTATGACCATTCCTACTCTTTTATAACAGGTATCCGTGGTAGGAGATATAAGTCCTATTACAAATATAACTAAATTAATTATTTTCTATCTAAACTAACTTCGGAAAAATCATGAATATAAAACAAAAATTTAAAGACGATTTGGCTTGTGGTTACGATAAAATTAATTTAAACATTTTAAAAAATATAACATTATATTAGTATCATATATAAGTATTATACATATATAAGTATCATATATGATACTTCCATAAACACATATATTTAATTTAAGTCTACAAAAAGGTATATCCAGATAAATTCAAAATAGTGATTATTAAACCTCTGGATAAAGGTGGTGATAGAGAAAATATGAACAATTGAACAAGCTGGGGTAAATAGCAAATTACTGGAAGATAAAACTAAAGAAGTTAATGTAATGGAAAAATACAAGAAAAGAACACGGAATCAAGGAAATGAGCAGAACCAGGATAAAAGACAGAATCAAACCCATAACAACGGGAAGAATGATTAAGATAAGGTATTTAATTGTAATAAATGTGGTAAGCAACATAAATTTAGGGAATGTCCAACATATGGAAAAGAGTGTAGGATATGTAAAAAGTTAAATTATTTTGCCTACAAATGTAAAAACAATAGACAAGTTGACATGGTTGAATGTGAAAGCGATAATATGAGTATAGAGTATTTGACATTAGATGAAATAGATAACAACAATCTTATGATATAATACTCTCTACTACTTTTTTTAATTTTTATTGCTACAAGTGAGTTTAATGTATAAATTTGGTTCTACAGTATAGTTCTTTTTTCGCTTTATGCATTAATAGTCACTGTTATTTCTTTTTTTATGTGTTTACCTTTTAAAGACGGAATCATTTCACCTCAATTAGTGAGTAAATTTTGTTTTATTTGCCAAATCAGTATTACTATCGCTAGTGATATCACAAATTACTCTAACANGTCAATTTTATTACATATACACTGCCCCTTAATATTTAGTATTCATTTGCTAAATATTTATCTACTTCTTACGCCGTATTCACTCATTTCACAAACATGGAAGATAAACTTGATTCTCTAATTAAAGCTGTAAATGATTTAAAAACTTCAAATAATAAATTAGTGTCTTCAATCAATTCTCTATTTGATAAAGTAGCAACTATAACAAATAAAATCAATGGTCATTCCGCACAATTAAACACTTTATCTTCTGAACTAGCCTCTTTAACAACTAAAGTGGAAACTCTTGAAGCTAATATCGCATCGTCAAATACAAAGTCATCAATCTTAATTAACGACAATCTAATATCTGAGATGATCGACAGACAATCACGACGAAATAATGTTTTATTCTTCAATTTACCAGAAGCTCTTAATGACTTAACCAACGCAAGCTCGGATTCTACTTTTATTCAAAATATACTTGATTTTCTTAATTTAAAATCCAAATCAAATTCTGTCACTCGTCTGGGCAAACCTTCTTCTTCTAATACTACCAAACCTCGACCAGTAAAATTACGTTTTTCGGATCAAAAAGATATTTTTGAATTATTCTCATATCAAAATAAATTAAAATCAAACTCTACCTGGAAAGACCTTCGCTTCTCTTCTGACCGGACCAAACAGCAACAAGAATACATGTCACACCTTCGCCAAGAACTTCTAAACCGTCAATCTAATGGAGAACAGGACCTCATCATTAAATACATCAAAGGCACTCCAAAAATTATCAATTCAAAAAACTAATTTCCATTCACAATATATTCAACTGCTACTACCAAAATGTAAGAGGTCTTAATACTAAATTAAAACTATTAAAAACCAATATAGATTTCTTAGATTTTAATATTTTAGCTTTTACCGAAACCTGGTTACATAATAACGTTAGCTCACTCGAACTAGGTCTCGTAAACTACGAAATTTATAGATATGATAGATCTTTATTATCTAGCTCGTCGACCAGAGGAGGAGGTGTCTTAATAGCAGTGAATAAAAAATGTATCTCCTCACAAATTGATGTTGATGTAAAATCGCTAGAATTATGCTTTGTCTCTGTAAAAATTAGTAACACTAAAAATTTAATCGTGGGTTGTATCTACTTTCCACCAAATTCTCCTTCTTCTTTGTATAATGAATATTTCTCTATTTTAGATAACCTAATTTCTTCTCGCCCAAATGATGATCTTCTACTTTTCGGTGATTTTAATTTGCCAAATTTAAATAAAGCATCATTAAATGCTAACTTAAATCTATCCTCTCCTGAAGCTATTTTTTTAGAAAACCTATCATTTCTTAATCTTTTTCAAATAAATACAATCTTCAATAGTTATGGTTCAATACTGGATCTTATATTATCCAATTCTAATTCTCATTCTATATCTTTAAATAAGGATTCTATAGTTCCAGTAGATAATTATCACCCTCTTATTAATGTCAGCTACTCTCAGCTCTACACTCCCTCTCCGCTATCTTTTTCTGAAGAAACCTATGACTGGTATAAGGGAGATTATATTAATATTTTATCTTTCCTTGGTTCAATAAACTGGAACGAATTTTTCAATATTAGTAATGATATTACAACCAT